TATATGTATATGTAATTTTTTATTTTATTTTTAAAAAATAAATTTTAAAATTCTGTAATTTTTTAAAATTTTTTTTAAAAAATTGTGTATATATGTAAAAATGTGTATATATGTAAATGTACAAGTGTGTATATATATATATGTATATAATTATATATGTAGATATATATGTGTATATATGTATATGTATATAATTGTGTATAGATATAAAAGTGTATATATATGTATATGTAATTTTTTATTTTATTTTTAAAAAATAAAATTTGAAATTCTGTATTTTTTATTTTATTTTATTAGTTTTTAAAAAAATTCTAAAATTTTTTTATTTTTATTTTATTTTTTTATTTATTTTCTGATGTGGCTGGATGATGTGGCGAAATGTGCTGATTTGGCGAAATTTGTATGACGTGACATGCCACGTCAGCATTAAAATTGACGGAACATAACGTCGTTTACGGATATGGAGGAAATTGCAACACATTTTAAGATTTTGTGTAGGAATTTGGAAATATTTGAAATCCGGCGTAGTTTTTTTGTCAAATTAAAAATGGGTGTAGGAAATTGAAACTTTTTCGAAAATTTGTGGGGGAATATGGATTATCCCAATAAAAAAAATAAATCAGAATGTGGAGAGTGGGATTTGAACCCACGCCCTTTCGGACCAGAACCTTAATCTGGCGCCTTAGACCAACTCGGCCATCTCCACCTTGTGTTTTATTTTTTAATTTATTTATTTGATTTAAATTCATATTCTTGCATTCCCAATTTCTTTAATATTCTTTAAATTTTCTGAACCATCTGAACACCACAAAATAGTTCACCGTCGATGTGGCCGCAGTTACGAAATTCGAGGCCGTGGAACATGTTTTAATGGATACATATGAGACAGAAGGTGAATGAATCCTCGTTTGCATGAAAACGTTTCCATTGAGACAACGAATACTTGTGGTCGGATAGGCAAAAGTCCAACAAGTTGTTAATGCGTTTTGCTCTTATATTCTGTTTTTCGTTTGATTTTTTTAATGTAACAGAAATAGATTGAAGGAAAACAAAAAGATTCTCAGCTCGGATTTTAAGTCTGGGACAATGAGTAATGATATCCACGGGTTTGTTGATTCGAGTGAGTCGTATGGTGCCGAGTTCAGTGAAAGGTGGTTGTTTCGGGATCCTCTGCTATCTGCGGTGCTCCGCCCGCCGCTCAGACGGATTTCGCGGCGGAGAATATAGGTCAACGTGAAGTTGACCGACCAAGACGAGTCCTCTTCAGGTGAAGCAGCTCTTGAATGCTGAAGAACCCATTGCTTTTTTTTAGGTTTCCTTTCTTCGGGGAAACTTAATTATGGAATTAAGTTTTTTTAAAAATATTAATCCATTGATTTATTTTCCCGATAAAAATGGAAAGAGGCGTGAAAATAAAATCGAAAAGATGCGATTTAACATTATTGTGAGCCTACCGAAGATAATAAAATTGTATAATTCCTAAAAAGAAAAAAAAGGAAAGAAGTAATATTTTTCCTTTTAACGATTAGAGATAATACATGCATACGAATCTCGAATACTAATTAGAGAACGATTTGGAAACCATATTGTCTTGTAATTATAGATTGTTTTGTTTTAATGAAAGTAATTATAAATCGTTACAAACAATACCTTAAAGCCTTTAATCTTCCTACTCTCCCGGTTCTAGGGTTTACCGCTCTTGATTGCTCTTCCAAGGAACGCCATGGATTCCACCCCCACGTTCTCTTACACAGTCTCTCCTCGTCCGGCCAGCGTCCCGCATTGGATTTTCGACATCTGGTCCATCGACGTTCTCAAACGTAACATCCGTCTCTCGAGCTACGTGGACACGTCCGAGTACGACGGTGTGACCCTGCCTCTTCCCGACCGAACCCACGCCGCTCGCGCGGGCTCCATGGCTCACCTCAAGCCTTTGAATCACAACGCGATCCTCGAGATCACTCGCGGCGCAAACACGGGAACTTCAGCACGTGCAACGCGTGTCGCCTCGTTGTACCGCGCCCTGTTCGCCCCCATCACAGCCTGTCTCTACGATTTCGGCGTCACGAAGGAACTCTACGCCGGGATCTTGAAAGAGATAAGCGACTACCTAAGGAGAAATCCGCGAGAGATTGGAGGAGAGATGGAGGTGAAGATCTGGAGGACGATAACACAGACGGTGCAGAGACATGACGATCCTCATGTCGATGCATATGTCGAGAGGGTACTGCGTAGGAGCTTGTTGTTGGCTCGTCGGAAACCTGTCCCTGCGGATTCATCGGCCATCGATTCCCTCGAACAGATTAGATTTTCGCGGGAATGCGTGATATGTAAGGACGATTTCGAAGACGGCTCGATGGTCACTCAACTGCCTTGTGATCATCTGTTTCATGGAGATTGCATCAAGACTTGGTTCCAGATCAATCGAGGCTGTCCTCTCTGTCGTAAACCCGTATCTTAGACTCTTGGTGATCTTGCGAAATAGTTTGGCATATTTTTAGGATTCTACCCATTATTAGATTGTATTTGCGTTTTATAATGATCTCTATTCTTTCACTTACAATGTATCACGTATATATACATATATCTCTCCTAATTTGAATATGTGAATATTCATTCGGATTTGAGATTGGACCGTAATGGTCTGAGTGTATTTATTAGAAACGTATTTTCAGACTGATATGAAAAACAAATCAAGATGAACAAATTGGGTTCGGTTTGGTTTGTTTAGGGGTTCTTAGTCATATTAGGATTAGTGTAAAAACGAATTAAATTCGGTTTAGAAGGAACCAAACCGAATTAAACCAATTTGATTTGGTTTATTTTGGTTTGCTCTGGTTCCCGTGCGAGAGAACTTCACATTTTGACTCATACCGAAATTCCGTCGGCGATTCTCTGATGTTTTCCTCCGCCGCCGATGACTGTGACGCCTCACCATTGCATCTCCATCCTCAGCAAATGCAAGAATCTCAGAACCCTTACCCAAATCCATGCATCTCTCATCAAATCCGGCGCCGACACCGATCCATTCTTCGCGGGAAAACTGCTCCTCCACGGTGCTGTCGCCATCTCCGACGGTCTACGTTACGCCCATCGCCTCTTCCTCAGCTTCCCTGACCCAGATGTCTTCATGTTCAACACTCTCGTTCGTGGGTTCTCCGAATCCGATTCGCCGCGTAACTCGATCTTGACGTATATCGAAATGAGGAAGAGAGCTCTCGCTCCTCCCGATAGCTTCTCTTTCGCGTTTGTGATCAAAGCGGCGGCGAATTTGCGGTGTTTGAAAATTGGATTTCAGACGCATTGTCAAGCTTTGACGCATGGGCTCGATACCCATTTGTTCGTTGCGGTTACATTGATCAGTATGTACGGTGAATGTGGTAGTGTGGAGTTTGCTCGTAAGGTGTTCGGTGAATTGCCTCAACCGAATGTGGTTGCCTGGAACGCTGTGGTCACGGCTTGTTTCAGGGGAGTTGATGTTGTAGGAGCGAGAAGAATCTTCGAAGCAATGCCGGTGAAGAATCTCACGTCGTGGAATGTGATGCTTGCGGGGTATACCAAGGCTGGGGAGCTTGAGTCTGCGAAACGAGTTTTCAGGGAAATGCTGGTGAAAGATGATGTTTCTTGGAGCACCATGATTGTTGGGTTTGCTCATAATGGGAGATTCGATGAGGCTTTTATGTGTTTCAGAGAGTTGCAGCGGTTGGAGATGAAACCAAACGAGGTGAGCCTGACTGGTGTCCTCTCTGCTTGTTCACAAGCTGGTGCATTTGCTTTTGGGAAAGCAATACATGGGTTTATTGTAAAATCTGGATTTAGTTGGATTGTCTCGGTGAATAATGCACTTATTGACGTGTATTCAAAGTGCGGGAATGTCGCGATGGCTAGGCTAGTCTTTGATAGTATGCGCGAGAAGACGAGTATAGTTTCTTGGGCATCGATGATAGCAGGGCTTGCTATGTACGGTCACGGGAAAGAAGCTATTGAACTCTTCGATGACATGATTGAGTTCGGAGTCAGACCCGATGGGATATCTTTCATATCGCTTTTGTATGCCTGCAGTCACGCTGGACTGATCGAAGAAGGTGAAGAATGGTTCAGGAAGATGACGACTGTTTACGATATAGAACCGGCGATTGAGCACTATGGTTGCATGGTTGATCTATACGGCCGAGCTGGAAAACTTCAAAAGGCATACGACTTCATATGTCGAATGCCAACTCCACAAAACGCAATCATTTGGCGGACTCTTCTTGGGGCTTGCAGCATTCATGGGAACATCGAATTGGCTGAGAAAGTTAAACAAAGGCTTTCCGAGCTCGACCCGAATAATTCCGGGGACCATGTTCTGTTGTCAAATGTTTATGCCGTCGCTGGCAAATGGAAAGACGTGGCTGCAATCAGAAGATCAATGGCAGAACAGAAGATGAAGAAGAGTCCTGGTTGGAGCTTGGTTGAAGTCGACAAAACCATGTACAGCTTTGTAGCCGGCGAAAAGCGGAACGAAATCAGGGTCGAGGCTTACGAGAAGCTAAACGAGATAATCCCGAGGCTTAGGATCGAAGCTGGGTATGTTCCAGAAGGCGCGAATGCCTTGCACGATATACAAGAGGAAGAGAAGGAGGATCAGGTGACGAAACACAGCGAGAAGCTTGCACTCGCGTTTGGGATGGCGAGGTTGCCGAAAGAAACAACAATCCGGATCGTGAAAAATCTTAGGATTTGCAGAGATTGTCACACTGTAATGAAGCTGACATCGAAGGTTTATGGAGTGGAGATCGTCGTCAGAGACAGAAGTCGGTTCCATTCATTCAAGAACGGTTCTTGCACGTGCCGAGATTACTGGTAAGAAAAAGGGTTCAATTTATGAACACAAAGCCCTACTTCGATCTTCAAAGGGTCGGTCTTCTCTTTGGCCTGATGGTTCCCATTCCCATAAATAAATTTTTAAATCTTCGGCGACCGTTGTGAGAATTTTTTAATCTTCCTTCGCCGTGGAACCTTAGATTTTCCGATATCGTAGAAAATTTACGGGTTTTGCAAGTTTGAAATTAGGTTAACCAAATTTCCATTTAAAAAATTCAATTTTTTTCCGTATCATCATATATCAAAATTAGAAGAGAAATTTATTGTTAAGTATTTTTTTTTTAAATTTAATATTTAATTTCATTCAATTTAACATGTATCCCCTACTATTAATAAAAATGACGTCATTTCACGACATCATAAAAGTGTAGATTATTTACGTATCATTATAAAACCTGTAATTCAATATTGTTGGTCATTTAATATCAAAGGTTGATCCGTTTTACTAAACTAAAAAATATCAGTTAATATAAAAATTCACATAGAAAAAAGTTTTTTTTAAATGTAGAAATTCACTAGAATTTTGGATCAACTATATATTTTAGATAATCAAAAGAAAAATTCAGGTGAATACTTTAAATTTACAAAATAAAAACATAATTTGTATGTTATCCAAAGTATAAAAAAATATATAATGTCATTATATTTATAAGTCCACTATATTAGTTTTGTGATAATATGTGATTACTAGGATTCGAATTCTGGGTATAGACGATACTACACCACCTACTCGTAGCAAATCCACTATATTAGTTATTCCAAACATATGCGTACATTTTACCATTAACATGCTTACTTTGACATAAAGTTTACATACATTATCGTTTAATTAATATATCTAATTCTAGATAAATAATCAAATCGATATAATTAAAAAATAGAATGAGTGAAAAAGGACTTTCATGCAGAATTCTTTGAGATTAAAAATGAGAGATGAGTGTGGCCTTATAATCGCATGTTTTCTATAGAACTTGGTATTTTTCCAATTCAATCATTTTCCAATAAATTGTCTGTTCAAATCTGTTAAGCAAAGGTTCTTTTTGCTGGCTTGGTTGGTCCACATATATGTTTGCTTATGGCCGAATGGATATATGTATATATTCAATTCTATAATTTTCTAATACAATCAATTAAACCCAAAAACTTGTCTGTAGAATGAGCCGTGATTCACACGAGTCAATATTAGCAAACCAGTGTTTTAGTAATATATATATATAAATGGTAGGTAGTGATTATATTATTATATGAAAGAGGGAAATGGTGAGAAGTCCCATGTCATTGGGCACTTCCAGATGTTTTTTGCAAGGGCCCTAATGGAACTCCTTATCCGTCCATTACAAAACAAAAGACAGAAATGAAGACAACGAAGAAAATTCCTAAACAATAATAAGCGTGTGGGTCTCTTCCAAAATGCGCGCACATAAAAGAAAAGCCAATGTCCCTACATATATGTATGTGTATGTGTATGTGTATGTGTATGTGTATGTATTGTTCATCAGTCACCACGATGTTTTTGTCCCATATAACACCAAATTGACTTCAATTGAAATCCAGAGACCTATTGTTATCATTGTATTGTAATGTATGGCTTTTGATTGATCATTCGGGCAAAATGGGCCTTCTCCGGCTTCGACTTCTAGTCGTTTTGATAATTACTCGTCACCTAAATGTGAAGAGAGGGTCCGAATTGGCTTCACGCTCATGCATGCATGTGCAACAATGATGGAATCTTGAATGGAACGAAAAGGGACTAAACCGACTTAAAGAAAAGAACATGCCAATCAGTCTCAATAAAATATTTTTGTTGATAACTCGAACATTCACCATCCAACTACATCTCCCAAAAGAATCGGACAAATTCTGTTGAAAATGTAAGTTGGAATTCGCATATTTGTTTTAAGTGACAAAACTAACTTAAAGTGTAAATGCTTTGTAAAGTCGAATCATCACTATTTTAGTGGAGATTACATGCATTCGGATACAAAATAATAAATAAAGCAAAGCCAAGGAACACATGCAACAGAAGAACCATATATATATATATATGTTGGTCGACGAGGAAATTATGTTGTTTGAGACATTTATTTTAGACAAAATCCAATAGAAGATTTACTTTTGCTTGTCAAAAAGCTCTTGTATTGGCCAATTTAGTTGGTTTTAATATTACATATGCTTCAATAACAAAAACCAATGCTTGCATTGCATGGTATAATTGGGTCTCTTCTTTGATTGTGTACGAATTTTTGTTATTTTTTTTCTTGAAATTAATAAAAATTTCTGTCATTCTTATTGTGAAATTTTAAAGCATGTGGGAATTGTTCTTAAAGATAACTTGCCTATTTTGTATGAATTAATTCGCCTATTTCATTTATCCGTCTCTTTTTATTAATCTTTAAAACAAAATACAAATGGTCCTTTGAAATTTTAAAGCATGTGGGAATTGTTCTTAAAGATAACTTGCCTATTTTGTATGAATTAATTCGCCTATTTCATTTATCCGTCTCTTTTTATTAATCTTTAAAACAAAATACAAATGGTCCTCAAAAAAAAAAAAAAAAAAAAAAAAAAACTAGTGCAATGGTCTTTCCCAACAAATTCCAGTGGTCGCTTAGATGATAGAAAAGAAAGCAAGCTTTTTATTTATTTCTAGTTGCTTCAAAAAAAAATTATATAAAGAATGAAATAAAAAGAAATAAAAAAACATTAATACAAATGATTTGATAACATGATTGGATATGTGGGCCATATTCTCTTGCAACATATACATAACGGGAATAATACACTATTTAAATATAATTAATCAGAAAACATATTTAGATTTTCTAATTAACCAACATGATATTCAAATCATTGGTTTACTAATATTTATCTAAATCTATTGTTATTGAACATTATGTAAAAAGTCTTCACGATCAAACAAAGTTAACTATGAGTCGGATTTACGAATTTGATTTAAAAAAGTTAGCAATTAATCTATCAATAAAATATTAAAAAAAAATACTTGACAAATGAATTACTATTGGAAAATCATATTCTTTGACAACTATTAGATTCTACTAATATGAGCAAAAATTATTTTTTTTTTCTGCCAAGATTGATCATTACGTGCAAATGTTGATTTTCTAAATGTAATCAACCTTATACTATTTAGAAAAATCATAAAACATTGAGATTTGCATGGTTTGAGTAATAAAAAAATTATGCTCTCTCCTTTTGTATTGGACAAAGTGACGACCACACATGTTCATTGGAACTTGTATTGATTTGTATGTTTTTTTATGTAATATAAGCTAATTTCCATTTTCCCAATAAGAAACGCCCGTTGGGGCATTTTTTCTTCTAGTTTATATAATCTCCCATTATATCTTTTTTTTAAAAAAATTACACTCTACATTAAAATCTGTATTTTAAAAATATTTATCATAGTATTTCATACAAAAAATAAATCAGTATTCCAACAACAAATAAAGCCAAACAAATCTCATTTGGATCTTATTCATTGACATAAAGTGTATTGAAATGATAGAATGCTTTAGTGAGTCATTATATGATTCGAATCTAAACTCAAATACACCATAAAATCATTCGAAACCACAAAATAAAAATAAGTAATTATTTTCCATCGTTCGAGCTTCGCTAATTGTTGGTGTGAAATATTATACAAATTATAAAGACCGTGAAAGAAAGAAAATCCCTGAATCATGGTCCAGAACTTGTATATGGGAAAATGAACTGTATATTATAAACTTATATACACACATACACACACTCGTATCGTATACATCGATTATAAATACACACGCCTCCTAGAGTATTATAGCAAGAATCATCGTCTTCGAGAATCTTTTCTTTGACTGAAACACAATATAGATCGGCGATATGTATCATATACAAATATCTCTATATCATCAATCAGTCGATCAATTTCATAAGGAAAAAAAAAAGCAAAGGATCAAAAACCCTTTATCCCTTTTGGATTTCTGTCTTGTCCTTGTTCATTTTCTGTGTTTAATTTAAGAGACGTTAGGAGGAGAGTACTCACAAACGACCTCGGTGGCGACTTCTTTCCGGTGGAAGTTCCGGTGGCATCCGCAGGCGGCGCACGACAAGGATCCGGCGGTGCCTTCGCCGCCCTTGGCCATGAATTCCCGGCACCCGTCGACGGCGTATCCGCCTATGTTCGCCGCGTGGTTCTTCTGGCACTCGGCGTAACGCACGGTCGAGGACGACGACGAGGAAGAAGAAGATGTTGGGTTCGAGCTTCTCCTTTGCTTTAGCACGACTTGCCTCTTCTTCATCATCGAGATCGATCTTCTCGAGGGAAAACCAAAGAGAGAAGGAAAAAACCCTAGTTTTTGCTACGAGGGGGATGGAAGTGGCTCTTTGTTCATCTAAAAAGATGGTTTTGAAAATGAAGTAAATGCCTGTAATGGCCTTTACGCCCCTTTTAATAGGATCGCCAACTATACAGCTAACCCTAGATGACCTCCCTTACGGTCTTATCTTCAAATTAACTTATTTTATAACGAGAGAGTGTCATTAATATTTTTTTAACCCTAGGAGTTGACAAAGTGCCGTGAAAAATGTGGTCCTTCAAACAAATTTTCAATATATATATACAAAAGATATAATAGATTCTATCTTATTTTATATTTGGCATATATAGATTAAATTACATAGTTTTTTTTTTACAAATTAATTAAGTCATCCGTTCAAAAACTTAAATGCTTTTCTGGGTTAGAAGATTATTTTAAAATTTGGAAAATGATAAAATCTAAATTGAAAATTTGGAAGTCAAAGTGGAACAGAAATGGGGAAAAAATCAGCAGCCACCATACTTTACCATTATTTTCATGTGCATAGATTTATTTATCAAGACCTATAAATGCTGGCCAGTTCATAAAAACAGATATTAAAATAAATAAATATATTATGCCGATCTCAGTCAGTCCAAAAAAAGGCTCCCACAAGCAAGCGACATTGACAGATAGTTCGAGTACAATCGCATTAAATACATAACATTTTTTTCTTGATTTTTTTACGTCTTTTTTTGGGGTGAATATATTTTTTTTAATATACATCCCAATAAAATATTTCATGCAACTAATAAGATATTTTAAATTTTTAGGGTATTCTTAACATACAGTATATAAACACTAAATCTACATAAATAAAAATACATGAAAAATTGATTAAAAATCGATACTTAGATCAATATCATTATTTTGGAAAGTTAAGATTTTTTCTTTTAAATCTAAAAGTATCATTATTTTAAGCTCAATTTTACACAATAAATATTGAAATATATAAAAATTAATAGATACCATTTGCTTACAGAAAAATATTAGCACGTTTCTTTAAACAAGTACAAATTACTGTTTAATTGTAAATAATGTTCATCGTTTTATCATTTAGAATAATATTTTCCATTAAGATATTCGAAAACAAAACAATATTTTTATTTGTATTATCTAATGCACAAAACATATATAGAATAAACTAAATCTAGAGGTGTGTTTGAATACTTTGTCTTATGTATTTGTAAAATTTTAATTTGTACTATGTAAGAGTTCTCAAGTCAAATAAATTTAAATTTTATTTTAGAAATATTTTTATTATTTTTAAGATAGAAATTTCATATTTTATATTTTTTGTTGATTTCCAATACGAAACAAAATAATATGTATTGAAATAGTTGCCTACAAATATTCGATCCTTTAGGTCATTTCCAACATCTTTAGTTGTAATGAACTTGCATATTGAAAATTAATATCTTGGCATGAAAAAAATATTTTTTATTTCTAAAGTTATTTGTATGATTTTTTATTTTTTTAAAAAATTATTATAATTAATCAATTAAGCTTGACTTCTTATAAGCGAAGCAACAAATGTGGATCCCATTTGATATATTAAAGTTAGTACGCAAGTGGCCCATGCGACCTCGACATCAACGTTTTTCCTAATAACATAAGATTCTAATTGTATGTATATCATTCACCGGCATTTATATATCTACGGCATGTATTGTAATGCGCGTGTGTATAAAAATATAATATGTCAATTTCCAATGAAATCAAAACAATATTTCTATTTTATTATATTATTCGTATCTTTCATAATAATTTTTGTTACATACATTTATCTTTACATATATATATATATAGAGAGAGAGAGAGGTACATATATATACGTTTTATAATGACGTGTGTTCATATATATATGTGTGTGTATATATAAGGAAAGAAGGGATTATGTGGAACAAAAGCCATAATTATATAGACTGAAAGATTAGTAAAAATGTTCATTTAAAAAGCCAAAAATCACGGGAGAATGTTAGGAAGTTGATTTGTGCAAAGGAAAGTACACAGTGTGGTTTGTTCAATAGAGACGAGTCTTGGATGAAATAATATCTTCATCAATGGGTTGCTTTCATTATTAAAACGATGTTGCCTTTTCAAGTCTTCTTCTAATCATCATTTTCGCATTATCAGAAGCTTGTTAATTGTGATATCTGTATTTAAGGTTGTTAATGGTGATAGTTTTTTATTTTTTATTTTTTGGCTTTTGTGTTTTGTTTTAAATAAAATATCAGATTATTTCAGATATTCTATAATTCATTTTTTAATTAAACACATGAAATTATGTTTTTTTATTATTTTAAATTATTTAGATATAATTGAAAGAAATTTGTACCTATTATTCAGTATGAGTTTGGTTCACTATAATCATATTTTATAATTGTTTTAGTTCCTAATACATAATTGTTATTGAATTTGCAATGGTTGATGACTATTTACAAAGGTGCTAAGAAACTATTGTATTAAAAAAATAATAACAATATTAAAGTTTTTGATTTCGAATTATTCTTAGTCTCTAGACCAAGTACTCGAAATAATACATGGGTGGCCAACTACACTACCCTGTCAGAATCAAAATAATTATATTAGAATATATATATATATACACCCGAATATATATATTTTTTTATATCAAATTACATTTTTACAATATCATTTAAATCACTCATATCGATTCACTTGAGCCTAATACATAATATACTGAAAAAACTACTTTATTTTAAATAATTGAATGCCGTAAAGTTTTACAAAATACAACATAACAAAATTTACAGAATCTAATATACTCTAATCGATGAGAAATATATTAAAACACAAATAAAAATGACACCTTAATCTAGTCAGGAACCAAATAAATCGAGATTGATATATTTTGGTTCATTACATTGGCATAAAAAAATTTCTCTAGAAATAAGATTTAGAAATTATGGCGGCTCTTAAATGAGAGATTCCACTATCCTCGGTTTATAGAGTTGTATTCTCATTTTATCTATAAGAAATCGAAATTATACAACCCTATCTTCACACTAATCCTTGTACTTTTATCGTACGAGATATGATTAAGATCCAAAACTTTATTTATGATATCGTATAAATATCCCAATTAAAGATATATTTTTTTGGATATCTGAGTGTTCTGCCGAGGCACAAACTAATCCTGAGATCGAGAGTAAACTATATGCTTGTAATTACGCTCTCCTCCCAAACCTGAGCCTCGAATTCAGGGCAGAACAGACGCTTTGCGTTCCTATTTCACCGGTTGAAACTACCCAAATTGGGTATCCCAATTAAAGATTATCACATGATATATATTTGAAATGCATTGATCCATTATTAAAAGTAATCCGAATTAGAATGACAACAGAAAAAGAGATGGGATGTGTTTTCGTATTTTGTTGAGAGGACACTTTGCTTCTCACCAACCGTACCTTACTCGTGGAAGCCTCGTAGCATATTTGCCAAAACGGAGAATCTTATAACCACACGAAATTATGTTTAATCTTAGGATATAACGAAAATATGATTGAATTTGTTGTCTCGGCATATATATATATATATATATCATATAGTTTTAAACTTCTAAGGCCAAACTTGACACGACCGCCACCAAGATGTATAATAAAAGAATTTAGCCCATTAATATAAAAAGTGGTTACATATAAAATCTTGTCATAAACAACTGTAGAGATATTCTATAATATATTTGTTAATAACAATTATTCAAATGAGCACTAATAATAATCATGGTATCATATGGATCTAAATTTGATGAAGTCCATTCACAGCCATTACATATCCACATTATACTTTAAAAAAAAAATACATATTTTCAGTGTTTTTTTCTATATATACAAAGGTTGGTTTTAAATTTGTAATGTATATTGAGAATCGGGTCTACACCAATAGTTTTGGGAGTGAGGAAATTATTGCATTCAAACAAAAAGAATAAAAACCATTACAAGAGAGGACCCAAATGATTGCGAAACTATTACATATTATATTGGAAAGGCTAATACACTCTGCCATATATACTTTTTCTTGTCACTGTCACTCTTTTTTCTTTCTTTTTTTTTAAAAAAAAAATTGAAGAAACTTTAGTATATATATATTGGACATTTTTTCAATGAATATTCTTTGTTTAACTTGGTATGCATAAACAAATGAAGAATATGAACTTGAGCTAATGGCATCAATCAAAGCTATAATATATGTCTATATATAACAGTGATTATACAAGTGTTGATGTTAGTTTATATAAAAACAACTAAAACTAACTTTATTCATGTTTTAAAATTTCAAGACAATAAATTTTAAATGAAAGGATATCTTTTTTTTTTTACTCTGTATTTTCATTTACACTCTAGATGAATTTTAGAAAATAAGAAGGGAAAAAAATAAATCAGAGAATAAAAACAACATTTTGGGCTTTTGGGCTTTTTCTTCTAAAAATTTTAAAATCGCCGAAATTGGACCCATAACAGAAGGACGTTTTTGAATTTTTTCAATTTAGTCCTATTGTTTTCAAATATATCTGGAAAATCTATAACTTTTTATTTTGTCGAAAAATGCCTGTATTCCGGTGCACCTGTAGGCAAAAAACGTTAGAGAGGTAATGACGTTAGGGTTCGTATATATAAAATTGGGAGAAATTTACAAATTAATTATTATTTATATAGATTACAAATTTATGTATTTATTGGTAAGGATTTAGTAAATCAATGTATTTACTCGAGATTTTATCTTATTATAAAAAAAAGGTATGAATTAACTTCAATATCATTGTTAAGTCTAACCTTTACTCCTGTAACTCTAATTATGTGAAAAACTATAACATCAAATTTGGAAATATACAATATGCCACAATTCATATGAAAAATTATCCATGATATAAAACATGAACGTGTTCATTCATTGCCTTGGTTCCATATATATATATATATATATACAGTTCAAAACATCACATGTAATATAACCACAATGTACACGAAGAAATATGATCCGTAGGAAGAATATTGAAATATCAAACATTTCGATAACAAAAAGTGCTAATAAAAAAAAAAGAGATAATCTTCCGAAAAAGGGCACTCCGTTAGATACGTATGGCGTCCGTTTCAAAGGTCAGTGTAGTAACATGATCTCGTATCTTTCAGAAGAAAAAAATCATTTTAAATTCCACACTTTTTAATAAAAAAAATTATAATTAAAGATAATGCTCTTTATTGCAGAACCAAATAAATGTGCGAGAAAAAGACAACCCTTATTGTCTTGCAGAAGAATGTGAGGGCATGTAGTTATGATGAATGTTAATAAGTAATCAATTATTTGTTATAAATACCTCGATTATACGGATAAATATCGTCCAATATAAATGCAATATAATTTATGATAAATAAGAAATTTTTGGGTTATTTTTTTTTATGTAAATTATTTTTTTTCTAGAATATACTTATATTGCCTTCCGTACTTATATATATATATAATAATAATAATAATATGCAATTTTATCCATTTGCAAAAGCTTTTACAGAATTTCTCTTAGTTTCTTCAATCAATTTGCTCTCTCTACCCCCATGTGATTGCACATGCAGATGCAACTGCCTTATGTATGCGCCGCCCACTTTTTATCTTCTTCACTCTCCGATCATTTTCAACGGTATTTATCTTCTACACTCAAACCCACTCAAAGCCCCCTAAGTACACCCTATACGATATTGCCACGTGTCATCAGTTATAAGAATCTGTTTCACTTGCGTGTGCGCGATGCAGTGGATTAAAGACGATGGGCCAAACTGAAAACTGAAATTGCGCTTTGTTGTCCGTGGTCGGGCCCACGCAGTGTTTTTGGTTTTCCAATGCGCCTCGTCTGTTAAATTACGATTTTGCCCTGTGTAGTGTGGTATGTTAGTTAGGCCACTTGAAGTCTCTATTAAATGACATTTGTATATGATGAATAAACCTATATTATATATTTCCATTTTTATCGTATCCTTACGTGAAATAATTTAAATTCTCTTTAAATTTTTATGAATTGGATAATAATTCACATTTTTCCGAATATTCTGCTATTTTCAGTGTAAAAAAAGAATGAATTGTACATACAAATTTCCAAGCACTTTGATATGTATAGTCTATATATATGTGTGTATATTGTACAAATTCTTTTTCTTCAAATGAGACGATTATCCATTTATCAAATAGAAACGTTGTAGATGGCTACTTGAATATTATACAAATTTTAAATACAATATTTATCAATATCACATCATCATCATTGAAAAATTCAGATAATTATACTGCACAGAGAAAAGGAAAAAGTTTCGTGCGCTTGTATTTTATTATTTATATAAATTATGTACGCTAATAATGTATTGAATATATAGAGAGTTTGTATAATACTAGAATTTATCTATTTAAAATTATTTACCGTAATTGTTTTTGAGATATTTGTACGAATTATGGCTAAAATACAGAAAAAAACTCGGCGATAACCGTTGGGTTAATATATCTTCCAATTATCCATGGAGCGCCTACAAAATATCTATTTATAGCCAACACAAGTACCACTCAAAAAGCTCAAACTACAACTAAACCTTCACCTCTCTCTCCCTCTCTCTCTCTCTCTCTCTCTCACAAAAGACAAGAGGAAATGGCAAAGCTCATAGCTTGTATCATCTTCCTCACTTGTCTCTGCATTTCAGTGGTTATAACTCCGGTGAGTATATAGTAACATTTCCAAGTGTTTAGCACCAATGATTAATTGTCTGATCCAACATTTAAGACTAATTAATTAACTGTAAAGTTGTCTTTAATGTGCCCCGATACATTGGGTTGATTAGTGGCAACTAATGAGTATGAAAATGTTGTACAAATGCCACTACATTAAGAAACTCATACATGTATGCATAAATATCAGCATTTGGACCCCTTTAACAAAAAAAAGAAAAGAAGAAGATGTTTTAAACCCTAGATGCTACATGATGCTCTAAATCCATGGCATATATATGTACACACATGATGTGTGTGGTCAATATTAATCTTTCCCAAGAAAAAAAAAGAGCAATGATGTGATTATCTCGCTTATAAATGGGTCTTAATTAATTTCATTTTCTCTGTTTTTCTTTTTTTTCCCCCTTATATTAATCGTTTTATTTATTTCTCACTAATTATTTTTCAGATTATGGCAAAAGAAGCAGAGTACCACCTTGATAGCGTAAGTATTTGCATATTAATTTTTTTTTATTAGTATTTCATTTCTTCTGTACTTTTTTTTTAATGTTTTCGTTTGCTTCTAATTAATTTCATTATTTGTTTTTTTTAACAGTATGGACCCGGAAGTCTAAAGTCTTCTCGTAAGTAATCCAACCACGTAAACTTTCTCTTTTTCATTTTTGTGTGAAATATTCTTAAAGAAAAAACAGTAGATGATATTCCGTAAAAAAAACAATTCACCGTGGTGTGTGGAATGACCAGAATGCCCCTCGCAATGCATAAGGAGGTGCGGGAAGACGCAGTACCACAAGCCGTGCATGTTCTTCTGCCAAAAGTGCTGCGCGAAGTGCCTCTGCGTGCCGCCGGGGACTTTCGGCAACAAGCAGGTGTGCCCCTGCTACAACAACTGGAAGACCAAGAGAGGTGGACCAAAATGCCCCTAGGCCTATTCACTCGTTTACCACATCTAATCTTTTTTCATATATATATATATATCTTTCAATAGCTCTGTATTTTTATGTCGAAGCATCAATATATATATATATATATATGATGGAGATGGGCCTTTGTCATATTGAATCTGTTTGGTTTCCTGGCCTTTGTATCAATTAAGGAATATAAATTTCGAGTTCAGAATTTTCATTTTTTGTTGTACCCATCAATGTATTTACTTGTCGGCAAATTCGAATCACACGGTAGTTGTAAAATCATTTATATTTACTCTTGAGTGGACCGCCATAAATTTAAATTCCGTATTTACATGTACTATGAAAAAACTATGTATATATTTTTATCAAACTAAAAAATGAAAAGGTGTTTTCTTCTTTCAATTCAGTCTGTCTTATGTCATAATGCAAAAAATATTTAAAAAGGTTGGCCATAATATATTCCTGCAAAACAGACAAACAAATAATTCAAAAATAATAATAATATATCAATTTCTATAAAACAATAAAATCTTAAAGGAATATAAAATTATGAAACGAATGACAAATTCATCTCGTGGACAAAAATTATAGATTTAATTCAGTAAAAAAAGGAAAAAAAAATGCAAAGAGGGCTTTTCCTGTCAGGATTCTTGGATCCGTATTGTATGATTGTAGAAGAGAGCCCATGAATCAGACCCTGTCTCAGCAAAGGTGAGAATCCTCTCTTTCGATTCTGTAAAACATCTGAAACCCTAGCGCTTCAGCTTCTGCGTACGTTGTGATTCAAAGCTGGAATCTTTGGCCTGTCTGTGATTAATCAGACAAAACCCGCTTGATTTTGAGGATCGCTGATGTCGGAAAAGAGCTTGCTTTCGTCGAATTTCCTCGTTTTCATGATAACCGTTTCAACGATGCTTCTCCTCTTCGAAACGACGACAAACCCATTAGTGTATATTCATGGAGAATCTGCTCGTGAGAAGTCTTGTTCTGACGCTGTTTCATGTTGGAAAGATTTTTATGTATGATTTGTCTCCTGGATTTCACTTTGATCTGTTGGGTTTGGTAGAAAAAAAGGGTCTGAGATTCGGACGAATGCGAAGAATCCGAGCAGGGTATCATCATATTCCGGTGGATTGAATTCACAACGAAGTGTGGAGGTAGGGCTCGCACTTGATATTCTAGCCTCTGAGACACCAGAAATAATGAGACCATGCAGTACAATTATTCAAGAACTCGAGTGAAGCAGACGCAGTTCTCGTTCCGTTCTTCTCCTGGTTGAGTTACAATCGCCATTCCAAGCTCTGGGGGATCGAAACAAGTTGTGTTGGCAGGCTGTTGCAGGGCAGATTAGTGGAGTTTTTAATGGGTCAGGACAAATGGAAGAGGCTTGTGGTAGGAAAGATCATTGCAAATCTTGCTAAAGATGATTCTCATTTCATAACATTCATTGTTATATATATATATATATATATATTTGTTGTTCTAAGGTATTCACAGCTGCATTTACTCTGTTACAATTTGGTTATAAGGATGATACCGTTTGAATCTTTTTTGGGAGAAATATAACTGCTGAAAGTTTAGATAATCATTGGTCTCCCTGTATTCTGTAATCTAATATATTGCATCATACAAAATTTTCTTTCCATAACAGTCTCTTGAGAACAAAGTTTTATACATCAACAGACAGAAGCACAGCGAGAGAGAAGCAATGAAGAACCAATCTAGTTCCAGGTTTCCATCTATGACAATCTTCTCCTAAAACCGACAAGGCCAAAGAAGCAAAAGAAGAAGAAATGACTATATCTATTCCACGAATGAAGAAGAAACCGAGCAGAACCGGTGAGAGCTGAGACTGATGCATCGCTGTTTATCCGAAGTTTTATGCATTGCTTGCTCCTATCTCTGTGATTTCATTTCAGACATTTCTTGATCGGTTATGTATAGGATCAGATCCCTTTCCGACCCTTCTTTTGTCAGATTGATTCGGATCAAACGTATCCAAAGGCGAGGGAGCCAAGTCCCGGTCAGAATGCAAGTATTCTTGATCTGAAGAAGAGTCTTTTAGAGCACGCGAAAGACGGCTAACAGACAGAATTTGCAGCATCATGCCTCTGTCCAATCTCAAACCCGAAACCCTATCTGTCTGAAGAAGGAAAAAACCGATGAGAACAAGAAGAATGAATCTTCTGTGATGAACCAAGAAACCCATTTTATGTCCTCCCTTGAAGAGAAGAACTGTGGAGATGTAAGGGTTTTGTATTGTGTTGCAAGAAAAAATGCAGTGTTGGGTTCACTCTTTACACAGAATTTGGGAGGGGCTTATATAATGGCCAAAAAAATAATTTTTTTTTTAAAAAAAAGAAGAGAAAATTGGGAAAAGCAAAAGAACAAGTAGGATTCACTTCTTTTTCAAGTTTCTGGTGCTTTGAATATTTTGATGTAAGATTGGTGAGAAGGAGGAAGCTTAATGACATACAAAAGCTGGTTTTGGAAGGCTCTATTCTGACATGTTTGAACAAAAAGGTTTACTTGGAACACTTTCCTTTTGAAGCTAAGCATATCTCTCACTCTCTCTTTTGTTTTTGCATTCACATAAATTATGTGTATTATAAATTTATAATCATATACACACACATATATATATATATATATATATATATATATATATATGCTTAATGGATAGGGTGATAAAGTTTTCTCATTTTGAAGTGAATTCTTATGCCCTTTACTTCTTTTGTCTTCTAGCGAAAAACGATTTTTCAGATATATGTGTTTTTATATCTACACATATATTATGTGTATTATAAATATATAATCATATACACACACATATATATATATATATATATATATATATATATATATATGCTTAATGGATAGGGTGATAAAGTTTTCTCATTTTGAAGTGAATTCTTATGCCCTTTACTTCTTTTGTCTTCTAGCGAAAAACGATTTTTCAGATATATGTGTTTTTATATCTCTAATTAATTAGTAATTGGTATGGTTGATGAATTCATTTATTTGATAATAAGATAATGTTAAAAATTCAAAATGAAAATCTTAGGCCAGTGCTTTTATTTATATATCCAACATATTTTTCAAGTAAAATGAACAATGAGCACTGTATATGTGTGTGTATGAGTATATGCATAGGTACCTCCAAATTGGCCCCAAGAAGGTTATGTGGCAATTGGGTAAAGGGAAAGTTTCAAAGAAATTCCTATGCGTTCTTTAAAGGGTTGGTACAAAAAGATCATTGGAGATGATGGGGACAATATATATCATACTGACCAAAGAACTTGAAGAATATTCTCATTTATTCATAGATTTCTACATTTTAATGCACTCTTTATAAATAATATTTTTTTTTAAAAAAACTGATTTCGTTTTGAAATTTTTAATGCGTGCGGAATTCGAAAATGATTTCTAAGGTTTGTAATTGTTTTTTTAAAATTGTAATTCCATGACAACGAATTTTCCCTTAAACTAACTTTTAACTTTTGATATTTGGAAGTTCTAACATCGGTCATTACATTTTTTTTTTATAATTCGGAATTCTCCGAGCTTTCGACCAGACTATTTCTCCCAAAACACGACAATAACTTGCATGCCGCAAATACAATCCTCTGTCCCCAATCCGCGATTCGAACATGGGAATTAGAATAAAAACATCATATCATTCTTAACCATCTACACCACTCGATTATCGTTTCGTGAGTAACACCGGTCATTACTTATTATGAATGGTTAGGCGAAAAAAATCTATTAAATATGAAACACTAGTAACAACCACTACTAGAATGCATGTTCTCGAAAATTACAATGTTATTTAAATCAAGAGGCTAATTTGGTGGTAAATCTTATAGTTTTCAAAATTTTATATTTGTGGTATGATATTTATATCCTATGGAACCAATTCATTGGAGCCAATCCTCCAATTTCACTAAAATCGTGATGATGACGATGATGATATCTGAGATTACCTTATTTAGAAGAAAGAGAACCACAAATGTCATACATAAACAATAGATCCAAACACGTGATACAGATTTATGATATTTTGCAAAGACACAAGCACAAATTGATGTCCAAGAAAGAATATTAGAATATGTAGACAGCATGTTTTGATATGGTCGGCATGACAAAAGGTGACTTGCAAATTTGGGACAGAAGCAATACCCATTAAAAGTATTATTCAAAAGAATAGAAATAAAAATAAAAAAAAAACAAGAAAAACTCTCGAATATATATGAAAAAAAATAAAAGAAAACAAAACAAGGGCTTTGCTTTGAATGCTTAGTGTGTTAATACCAACTTTAGAATTCCAAGCTCTTCTCTCTATGCAATAAAAATCATGAGTCTTGGTTCCTTGTGCTTAGTGGATATCCTTTATGCTTTTCTTTTTTTTTTCTTCTTCTCATTTTTTTAACTTCCCTCCTTAATATTTCATTCAAAAATTGGCATTGGACCCATTTATTTCACCCTTGTAAATCTGAATATAGAAGATTTATTATCTATATTACATTATGAAATAAAGTATGATCTTGAGATTATGAAAATTTTTATAGTTTTTTATAAGTTTTCAGCCCTTCTTTGGTCCACGATCATCTTCTTCTTGCTTTAATTGTTTTTCGTACTAATTGGTGTAATTGGAGAGGAAAAAAATTAAGGCATTGTGTAAACTTTTCTTTATTTGGACAAAGGTTATGTAATGGATTTCAGACCCAATCAACCTTGAAATGTGTACCTAAATGATGGATAAGGAGCAATTTATATATTGTTATAAATTTTAATTATCGAATAATTGACATAATTTAGTTTCAATTGAACCGAACATAACCGAAACCCGACGATCCCTGCCCTTTAAGAAAACAAGATTCATAATCATAATGCAAAAATTCTTGAATTTTTTTTAATATAATGGAAGTCTGTCTATAACCACAAACATAATCTATGGTCATTATATAGATTATGGACTATTAGATCTTTTATTTTTCTTTTTTTTTTTCGAGTTCTTGTCGGAGACTGATTCGAAACAGTAGCATACACACTAATTCAAGTATCCTTTTGCTTTTCCATTGCAACAAAACCCACAAACACAAAAAAAAGGGAAACAAATAACAAAAAAAAAATGAGTTGGAGCTTTCCATGAAATACAATGCACAAGAACAACAAAAGCTATTAGAAGACCAAATAGTTCATCTCGAGTTTATAACTATCCCATGGTTTTAACCGTTGCCGGATAAATTGGATTTAGTTTGATTTTTAGAGATTCGATCCATCCGATAAAAGTTATTTATTATTTTATTTAATTCGTATGGTATTTATTTACCATATATGAAATTAATTCATGATAATAAAATTTCCACTAATTAGAGCGGTAATAATAAGTTCGGTTTATAAACATTGAGCGGTAATATTACGTTTTGTTTCTAACAAAACCGTGCCCAAATTAAGAGATGGGAATTGGCACAGTGATACTGACAATCATTTAAATTTTGTACATTATCCAAGAATCTAGGAAATAAGTAAAATAAATAAATAAATAAATAGAAATGAAACATCAAGAATAGAATCTTCGTAATAATAAAGTAAATGTTTATGATATTGGGAATGCCAAGATCCGAAATCTCTACGATGTACACTCACATTCATTCTCACACACAACACACAGATGCAGGAAATGCAATATCCAACAAAAATCTGGTTTTTGTTTTTATAACGCACAAACACTCTCACGCTAGCGCTATAAAAAGACGGTCGCATTATATATATATTATTGGCTTGGTTTCTGAAACATCAAATGCATGGACCTTTCTGCAGATATCTATCACCTCTTCCACTCTACCTGGGTTGTTTTCCCTGCAAAAACACGCACAGAAAAAGGTTGCAGGATTTTCAGTTTGATTTGGTTGGAAGAAGGCGAAACCAAACGCGGAAATGTGAAAAAGAGAACGTCTCGTTTCATACTAACCGTTTACTTCCCGGGACGCGAGAAGAGGCTTCTCGTTCTTGCTCGAGGTTTTACCTCCCGAGTTTGTGGCTCTCGCTGTTCTAGGAGAGTGCGAGGTGACTCTGCTGTTAAGTGGAGATGGAAGGGAGTGACGTCGGGTAACGACGTTGTTTTTCTCTGTCCCGTCTTGCCCAGCTGACCTTGGCGAGCCTTGCAGCCTCAGCTTCGCCTTAGCAGATTGAGTTGCTTGCATGTAGCTCGGGATCGTGGTATTCATCTGGTTTCCGTTACTCTCTTGACGCTCGGATTTAGCATTAACTGAACCCTTTTTCCCCGATCTCTGACTCTCTTTATCTGCTGAGTTCTCCTGATTGTTCAGTTTGGGGACTTTATCTTCCTTAGTTTTCTTTACCATCAGTGGTTTAGTCTCAACCGCGGGATTGTCATCGAGTTGGTCAACTTGGTTGACCCATGACGATTCCAAGACCTCGATTGCTTCCAATGGTGCAGGAGAATGTACTGTCTCAGACATCTCTTGCTTCGTCTCTCCATCCGAGGCATTGGCATTCATGGGTTCTTCCATATCCAAGGCGGTCAGGGGTTCGTGAACAGGTGGTGGTGGGGATGACGAAGATTCAGGGGGCTTCTCTACAGCAAGCTTTGGCTTCTCAGCTTCGACCTGCGGATCCAATTGAGGTTGGATAGAGTTCTCAACCACAGGGTTATGTACCTTCCTCAAGCTCCGTTTAACTTTTTCAAGCTCACTCTGAGGATTATCCACTGCTGGTGGTTCCACAGACTGGCTTGGAACTTTACGGAAGTTGCGTTTCGGTTTCTCGATTTCGAAAGATGTCTGTACCGACGGATTGTCGAGATTTGCTGCAGGGACTTTACGGACACTCTTCTTAGATCGAACAGCTTCAGCCTCACTCTGAGAATTGTTGTTAGCAAACTTCTTCTGAGTTTTCCGGACCAAAGCTTTCTTTGGTTGAGCAACTGGTTTCCAGAAGCGGGAGGCCGACCAGATTTCTAACCAGTTTGAGACTGAGTTTGGATCAGAAGAATCATAGTGGAAGTGAAACGGCATCACTTTTGGTGATGAAGCAAGAAGCTGAAACAAATACCATAAAACTTGCCATTATACACTTTTACTAGGCCCCAAGACACAAAGCGCAAAAAATATACAGTTAAAATTGTAACCATTTCATCTCTTCATTCTTTTACTCGATATCAAGAATAACAACTAGCTATATAGAGAAGCATACCTTTAGAGCAAAAGTGTTTGACGTTAGTTTCGTGATTCCCAGGTAAGTATGGGTATCAACAGGGTCAGCAAGCTTGTTCTCCTGACAGAGGAAAAGTCGAAGATATGGCACAAATTGAAGAAATTTGACCAGTTGAATGGCAAACTTTCATGAAAATAAGAATTGGAAGAGGAAAAGATGGAGCTTTCCACCTCGAAGCACTACAGTCAAATTGTAGTTTCATCACGAAAAGAGTTTGATCTAATACACCGCCAGAGTTAAAATGAAACTATCTATGAAACAATCGAAAAGGACGCACGATCATTACCAGAGGAGACTGCAGCCGGCATTTGCTCTGAACTTCAACTCCAATGTCAGAATGCCTGACTTCTCTTCCCCGAGCAAATGCTTGCAACCTAACAATTCCCATTACACAGCACAGTGCTGCAACAGCTTGCCTCCTAACCAGATGGCCACGAATCAATGCTTGTAGCCTTATTATCCCTTTGAGTGCCCAAAAAGCACGGCGCGCCTTCACCAATGTAAGATCAGATCAGTATACGTACAAATAGGATCGTTACATGCAAGAGCCGATTTGCCACAAGTGAATAGATATATATGCATCAAGAGATATAGGAAACATAGAACATTTAGATTACTGACTTACTAACATGCGAAGGCGAAAAAGCGAGTCTCGACTAGATTGTGAAGGCTAAGTTATACCTAAATGCAGGAAAAGTTACAAAGGCAATATAGTGAAAGCTTGGAATATTACAGCATTCTCTTCAATGCATATTAATACTAAACATACAAACAGGTTAGAATTAGATGAAACAGAATATTAGGCAAAGAATGCACATAGCTCACATACAAGTAATTCGTGCAACAAGAAAGATGCACATAGCGGGAAAGGCTAATTCAGAAGTTAAAATATTACCAAGTAACCTCTAAATGCGGCCTGAACAGCTGTTGCAGCATTCTCTTGCTGAATTTTCTCTTCATCAGATAGTGAATTGTCAGGTATAGGATCAGCTCCTTCGAAATCTGTTACTTGGCCCTCATGATGAACTTGTATCTCATTATCTGATACCTTTTCGGCTCCCATGTTTACTGTCTCTAGCATACCGCTGCTTGCATCAGCCATGTTGGAGACAACATTTGGAATGGAAGGCAAATCTGAAACTGTATCAGATTCTTCTATCTTTGCAGTAATCAGGACCTCTTTTTCATTCAGAACTCTCTGTACATGATAATCATAATATGGAGCAGAAAGATTCAGTCACAAAGAAACCAAGTAAAAGGGCGAAACATTCAAGATGCAATATTAAGTGACAAAATCTACAAGTGCCCCTGCCATGCAGTCACATTAAGAACACATCAACTAAGGCGTTACCGGGAGCACTATTCTTTGATCATCAAATATTTCCCCGGTATTCTATTCAAATCCGAAAGCCACATATCTAGACTAATGAAACTATGAAAGAGACACGATATTCATAAGAAGCACTTGATATTACCTCTTTAAATAAATATATAAATAAATCAATGGGTGTGTCCATGCCACGGTTGCCAATAAACAAGAATCATTGTTTCCCTTTGGATCCACTAGACTTAGATGACTTCTTTCCCAGAAGTACATTTTTTATCCACCTTGCAGACTTACCCATGACGTCCAAAACTTAGACACACCTGCATTGTCCAAGCAAAATAAAAAGCCGTTGTGCACAATAACATGTGAAAGTGACTAATGCACCAGATCAAAGAGAAAAATGCAAGAAACCCTTGAAGGAGAAACTACATTCAAGACAAAAATGAAATGCGTTTCCCAAGAGAGTGAATCAATCCCCGAAGAAATATGTCCTTTGTTTTCCTTCCTTCACTATCGTTCTAGAGCTTAAGCCCCCATAGTTAAGCATGTAAAGATGATTTTGTTAGCATCTGGTTCAAGAGGTAAGATGCTTTACAGGTTAAACAGAGTCGATGTTACACTAGCATAATACTATTCAATTAGATGCTAACATTCATAAAAATGGATCTATTATTAAACATCAAAATTCACAATGATTATGTTAACTGCAATGTCGAAATAATAACTAAAATAAATAACAAACCCATGGATAAATGAGCCAAAGATATCATTTTGTAATAATCAACCCTCATAATAAGCTCAAAATAAAATAACACAATCATTACCAAAAGTAAAACAATAGTTACCCTAAATCAAGTAAAATTAAACATGTATAATACAAGGAAAGAAATGTAATGAGGGTAATTAGCGGTGCTATAGACCAGATCTGGAACTCACCTTGCAAGTAAAAGAACCCTAGACCTCAAATACACAACACCTGAGCACCGAATCAACAAAATTCACCAAAACATCAAAAATCTAACCTCTGAATCCAGAGATCTACCAGAAGAAAGGTTTCCGAGCAGTGCTCGAACCGATTCCTGAAATGTCTGTCTCCAGAAAGAGAACCAGTTGGATCTCGTGTTCGAATTCGAACCCGATTCGGACACAGAGGAACAAAGGAAGAGGAAGACAAGATGAAGATACCGTGAATAAAGCCTGTGAAATGCGTTACAGATATGCTTCCATTGGCATCTCTCTCTCTCTCTCTCTCTCTCTCTCTCTCTCTCTCTGCGCTTCAGTGCGAGAGCTTCTGCTTCTCTCGTGGTAGTTTCAGTGACCAGAAAGAGAGAGAAATATAAAATTATAATATTTACTAATTTTACCAGAAGCTGAAGAAAATACCAAAACTGGGGACTAAGCTTTTTTTTTTCCTCAGCGACAATAAAAAATAATTCTTTTTCAAATCAAACAAAGATCTTAGGCTACGTTGCGTTACAGCCGTCGGATCATATTTCCACGTGGCTTTTAATTTTTTCTGTTTCTTTTATTTTCTTAACATTACAGATTTTTCCGGTCTCTCTCCTTTTTTTTAATATTTACATTTTTTTTAAAAAAAAATTGTGGTTTCTAATAAAAACTAAAGATATTTACACGAAAAAAGTTAGCATCGACGAGGGCTTTAAATCAGGGTTAGGGGACAACAAGACGAAAGGGAACAAGCGCAGAGTACAAAACACTGTTGTTATATTTGGGAAAAAACATATAAAACTTTAAATTTTAACAAATCTATTCAAATACATAAAACCATTTAAATTTTTATATAAAATTATAAACTTTGTTTATGAGTTTATATATATAAGTACATTAAATTTTAAAATATTATTAAAAACGCCTAAAAAAATTTAAACATCATTTACCTACCAATTCAAATAAATCTACTTTAAAAACATAAAAAATTACTAACTATTAAAATAGAAATTCAAAAAATATATAAAAATGTTATAACATAATATTTAAAATCTAGAATTTTCTATACAACTTATTTATTTTCAACTTAATTTTAAAAATATTTAATAATAATAATTTATAAACTAAAAGTTTGTATATTTAGGTGCAAGTTTTTTTTAAAAAAATGTATAGGTTTGTATGAGATTTTTCACAAATCTTTTATTTTAGTGTTATTATTCTTAATAACGTGACATATATATATATATATATATATCTCAAATTGCTCGGTGATTTTGCATAGAGAATGACAAAACCAAAACGTAGTTCTTTGATGGCTTTGGAGATTTTGCCCTTGGGTTTTAGACTATTATAAAAAATTTGAATATTTTTAATTATCACAAAACATCATTATATATCTAAATATACTTGCAAATAAAACAAAATGAAAATTATATTCTACAAATACATAAGTTATTGAATTTAAATGTTATGTCGTATTGATTATTTGAAGAAATTAAAAAAGAGAAAGCAAAGAGATTTCATTAGATTTTTTTTGGTGATAGACTTCATTTTAGAAATAAAAGTGGAGTTGAAATTATCATATGATCAAAGTAATGGGAGATGCTTGTTTAAGGTTGTAAAATGACCCACGCATTGTCAAAAATGCTAAATACTGATCATATGATCGGAATTAAATTATCATATGATAAATAATTATCAACACAGGATTAAATTTTATGATAAATAAAATACCCTTAATCTTTTTACCCCATGTCACATTGACACATTCTTTAAATCATCAGCAAAAATAAATATTTTTTATAAAAATATCGAGAAACTACTTTTTACGTTAAAAAATTTTATAATAGAAGAAATTAGATGACGTGACAAGGAAAAAAAATAAAAATAAAAATATATATATATATATATATAAAATATTTAAAGCAAGACGTTGGTTGTTCCAAAGTTGCAGTTTACTTTGGGAACAAGTGTAGGTCAGCTGCTTTACGGCGAAGCATGCTGAAATTACACATTTACCCTTTTCTCCATAATGATAAGAAACCACACTGAATCGCTGTGATGGGTTTTCACGCGTGGGAATCGTGAACAATTTACAACCGTTGGATTGTGCGGCAAATCTGGAATCGAACCGCACAGATAGCGCGTGATTACCCATGGCATGAAAACGCGCGTGAGACGGCAGCTCGAGTAAATAACGCCTTCGGAGGAGCATCATCGTCTTGGACGTTGATTTGTTGTCTTATATGAACATATCATAATATTTATTTTTCATTTAGCAATATATTTTTTTAAAAAATCCCGTAAATGGGTTGAGCAGTTTGTAATACAATTCAAAATTGGAAAAATCCAAACCAATTATGTGATATTGTATCCATTGTCAAGAAGAAAGAATTTAAAGATTAATTTAGAATAATTATTGGAAAATTATGGAGAATCTGATTATGGGTTTGACTGGTTGTACCGCAGCGGTTGCGGGTGGCAGCGTTTTCAAAACGTTTGATAGCGATTATAAATGATTAATACTGACTGGTTGAGAAGTTGTTCTTGGTAGCGATTGCGGGTGGGTGCAGTTAAAAGTGAATGGTTCATTACGGTTGCGGTTGCGTTTTGATATAAATTGTCAAAAAAATATTATAATAGTTTTAATTAAATTTTTCGTATCATTTGATAAAAATTATTTACTAAATTTATAATAATTAAATAATAAATTTGAAATATAAATATTATCAATTTAATTTATTTTCAAGTAAAAAATAATTTTATTATAAAAATTATTAAAAATAATCATTATTAAACCTAAAAATTATACTATTATATTTTTTATTAAAATATAATACTAAAAAGTAATATCAAATCATAACACTAAACAAAATCATCATCAATATATATATATATTAATATTTTATATAATTTCTAATAAAAATATTTTAGTTTTTTTGTCAAAACGCCGGAAACTGCTACCAAAACGCAAGTTGGAAGTTGCGATTAGAAAACACAAGTTTGGTTGCGGTTGCGGTTGGTTGCGGTTCAACCAATCAGTTTTTCAATCGCCCGCAACCGCCAGAAATTGCAACCGCTCTGTTTGCGGATGGCGGCGGTGCAACCAGTCGGCCCTATATATGTTCTCTATTTAGTCTGGAATTATATTTCTAATTAGTAAAAGGTATACTTTGACATTCAAAATTTTTTATACCAGTATTAAGAAACATTTAATCTCAAGATTTTTAAAGACTAATTTAAGCAAATTTTATATAATAATCTTAATAGAAATTAGACAAATCCAATAGAATTATATAATAGCTATTTGAAAAAAGTATACCTTAATGGTTATGGGTTAGCATGTAGAATTTTGTAATATATTTTGAACTATTTTCTAAATCTATAATTCCAAAATCAAATATCGATATCCAATCTATATCCATCACATATATAATTCGATTTCAGTATTATCATCCTATCTATCTCTTTTTGGATATCTAAATTTTGATTTCCAATTCAGAGTTGTAATTGGCTCAACAAACTTATATGCGATGCCCATCTCTAGTCTCACATATTTACGCAATTTCCAAATTTAATTAATGAAATGATTAAGCTATATATGAACCAAGAAAGGAACTTTAACCATACATGAATCATTTGCATAAAAGACGTACCAAATATAGGTTTAAAAAAAATAAAAATAAAGAAGAAAGAAGAAAACCTATAAACCTCCATGTGTGAGAGTGAGTGACATGTACGTCCTTCTTCTTTGTTTGATGATGACCCATAACCGGTTAGGTCAAACCGGGTAAGGCTCTCTAGTTTTACGACTCTACCGAAATCCAACCCATAACCGGTTTGGTCGAACCGGGTAAGGCCCTCTCTCTGGTATGATATCTCAAGTTAATTATGACGAGTTACTCAAGTTGTTCCATATGAGGTTACCATGTTGGCCCTTCACGGGTTTCATACCGTTCATTTTTATAATGCGAATCATGAATTTATTTAGCAAATTGAGCATAAACTATACGAACAGTCATTTTTTCCCCTTCTAATTTAAAAATTATTATAAATTGCACGTATAACTATTATCTCACCATTTTCGACCGATATATTCTTGTCGTGTTTCTTTCTAAACACTTGTCTTTGCACCAACACAAGGATTCTGGATGGATTACATCAACTCAAGACTCGGACCAAAACTTCAAGAACCGCTGATTGTGTGAATTTCTAGTATGGGGGCACGTCCAAGTTTGAAACTTCCAATCGCATTAGCCATACCTCTCAGGTGCGTTTAGGGTTTTATGTCCCTCGTCTTGTTTTCCAAGATTTGGGGTTGGACCTCTCTCTCTCTCTCTCCTCTTTAGTATCATAGATGCTGCTTACTGGACGGCAAAAGAGCTGGAGATGCTTCTCTGGGTCTCGGTAACGAGCACCAGAAATGGAGAGAAAAGACGATCAGAAGTTTCTGAAGATAAACGACGCAGTTACTCTCGTCAGCCAAGAAATCAATCTGATCGGCATTGTCGTGAAAGCCATCGAACCCAAGCATTCTCGCGGCCCTGGTAAAGCAACCCCTTTTCCCCAATTTTCCTTTTACTCGACGACGTTATCTCGAGAAATTTTCCGTTGCAATGCTGAATTCGCCTTTCTGGCTGATGGGTTTGCTCTTTTTATAATGTTAGTAGTTTCCTACCGAGATAGATATACTCCCTGACATCCGTTTGCTCATATGAAGTCATCGCCTGTATGCCATTCTTGGGCTCGGGGAAATAGGGTTGTTGCTTATCACAAGGCTAGACAATTGATTGAAAATAATTTGATATGGTTAATCTGGAAACTGTCGATTCATTTTGTGGTTCACCGAACCAAATGTGGGCAGTGATTCTGAAAGATTCAACTTTCACTGTCCGTTTTCGGACCATCTCCATTCCTGACTGATAGATAAATACTTTCATATTATTGCGGGGTAATTTTAACATTCGTGTGATCCGTGAGTTGCTCTGTTGCTGACTGTTCTGTTCTGTTTTTTCTTGACAGATTGGGTCTGTTCAGTTTGGATCATTGATGAATCGTATCCAAGACCCGGGCTTTGTGTTAATGTTTTCACGAGCGAACTGGAAGAACTTCCTCATGTTAAGAACCTTGAGGACATGATTCTGCTTACCCGTGTCAAGGTATAAGCCTAGTTATGATCTCCTATGTTCCATGCTCTGCCATGGCCACTAACCTTTTGGCAATACTGAAACCATGTTCTTTCTTTGTTGAGATATTGGATTGTTTCTGGGAGAATTTCTATTGGCCAAACTCATTTCAAACTATGCACATGATTTTTTCCCTGGCAAAGGATGAATGGAGAAGAATTTCTATCCTCTAGCTCAATTATAGCCTTAGGTAAAAGCAAGAAGCAGTATTACCTCAGTGGCTGGTTTGGTTCTTGCGTTGCTAATCTTCTGCCTGATTGCCTTTTGTTGTCCATTTGTAATGTGAGGAAAATGTGCTTCTGAATCTAAGGCAGATCTGAAATTTTATTCTTGTACAGATAGAAACTTTTGATGGCGACAGAGTAACTGCTGTCTTTAATAAACGAGCTTCTTCCTTCGCACTGTATGAAGAGGGTTATGATGATGATGATGATTTTTTGTGTTACCAACATTCTTCAAGATTTCAAGACAGGGCACAGTACAAGAATTCCATGGATTACCTAGGCAGATGGTTCACCGGTAGCAAGACTAACACAGGTAAGAAACGACCTCGTCTTTTTTCACTTGTCAATAATGGCCTTAGACAGTGCACCTTACAGAACCAAATGCTTGATCTATATAAATGTTGTCAGGGCCAACCAACTTTTCGTTCTTGAGAGAGATTAAGGGAGGGAATTATTTCGATTTGGCGTGCAGGGTACATGACTTTCCTCTCACCTGTGGTAAACATTATTAGTTCCTGTGAAAATTGCTCTGCATGGCTAGGAGCTATTATTTTCTTCATGGTTACTTCTGAGCCTCCTTGAAATTCATAAACATTCGGGAACTGATCTTTTTCTATTTTCTTTGTTTCTTGTAATGGAGATTCTTCATGTTAATGAAAATAGGAGTGTCATCTTTGTTTGGGACGGAACTGATACACCCCCAACAAGTGTTTTTGCAGTGTGAGTTCATACATGTCAAAGAAAAGAAAATTATATCATCGTTTCCCTAGTTCTAGCTTCTGGCTTACATTATCGATCAGATTAGTTTGCTCGCATTAACAGATTATAATTTTTAGCCATGTAGTTTGATTTCTCTTTACTCGAATTATAAGAAACTTGCCATCAAAATGAAAAAAGGGCCAACCCAGCTCGAGTCACCACCTGGTGGTGGCGCTGGGGAAGGAAATATACTTGCCATCAAAATTAAGCGAGACTAAAAAATTTTCTGTAAAGTCCTAGGCAACTTGTTTAAGTGGTTAGCGTTCCAATTCTTCAGCGTTTTTAATTCCAGATTTTTCGTTTTAAATTTCTCTATGCTAGCTTTATTATTATTGGTTGTGCCTGGATTCGGATACTGTTTTGAACTTTTAATATTGTTGACCATGAACAGGGGAGGAGAAGACGAGCAATTCAGCAGTCTTCACTTGTGCAATTGTATATCAAGAGATGCTTTGCTTGAGCTCCCGACCGTTGGAACGAGACTGAGAGTTTCAGCACACAATCGGTTCCCGTGCATGCTTAAAGCTGGCCAATGGGTGAAGCTTTGTGGTTTGCTGTGTGAAGTCGATAGGGGGAATTGGGTTGGTAAATGCATGGACACTACAAAGGTTAAGCGAATTCAGGATGATAGCTTAGCAGAAAACATCAAGAGGTCAGTATGTCTTTCTGTTGATTTCACCACATTGATCTTATGTAGCGTCTTACCTCGTGTACGTAAAATTAGGACATATGATAAGAGAATATCGTCGAATTTGGGGCTGATGCCGTTCTGGAGTTTCCCCTGGCCTCCTGGATTAACAGGTTCGTTTTTCGATCGTTTTGATTAAATCACAGCCTTCATTTTGGGGTTGATCTAATATCTGCTTTCTAATCGGTGATATAGTTTTCGGTTATCTGTTTTTTTCCTTCAAAAGTCGCGAATTTTTCTCTTTAAACTCCGTACAAACTGAAGTAAAATTGCTTTTGTCCAATCAAAAAATGGTAACTGGGATCAAAATCTGATTGCCCCTCAAGCTTGAAGTTCAGCTTTTTTTTTATCTACACTGGTCTGGTAATTTTTTGTTTACTGCTGGACTTTTTCTTACATTCTCAGCGTCTTTTCAGAGACAGATCATGATCGTGCCCCATTTGTCACACTGATGGACATTCTAACATTCCCGGAGGTACCATACCGTATCATTTTCCTCTGCCATATGATTCAATGTGCAGATAGTTTATCATTCCAACATTACAGGTGACATGTAAGTACAAATGTGTGGTTAGAGCTGTGGCTGCGTACCCATGGCAGGTTGAGAGATTCTATTCAAGTAAAAGCCGACGTTACAGAGTTATATTGACCCTGGAGGACCCGACAGCCATTTTAAAGGCTTTTCTATGCGACGAAGAGGCGGTAATGCCTTCGCTTTCAAAACTTATACGTTCTGTCATTCTGGGTATTCGTCGTATTCTTCGTTTTTCCATTCGGTTTGCTTCGAAATAGTTTCTCCCGAGGACAAAATGTTTCGTATATCTGTCATATACGAGGCCGGAAAATGCTTTTCAGGTGTAAATTTAGCATTATTACCTGTTCCACTGTTCCATGTTGAGCTCCTAACACATCAGAGGCGGGTTCATTCCGCAGGACAAGTTTTGGGGCGGACATCACGGCGTCGAGATATTGAGAAAGAAACGAAACCGGTTGCTCGGAATACGGGAAACCGAGAATGGCGTCGACGGAGAGGGAGATCCAAGAAATCCGCCATGGATCGAGTGCTGTATACGGTCTTACTATACCGATAAAACGGACCCGTGGAAGACAAGGTACTACAGGATCTTCGACACCCGACTTGTCGTTTAAGAGCCTCTGTAGTCCTATGGTTTATGGTTTAGGGTTGTTCTTAGTAAATCATGTGGTCCAATAGTCAATGATGGATTTGGTCAAAGGAAAAATATATTCCGATATGTATAAATAGCGAATGAGAAACTAAGGAAAAGAAGTTTTGTCCGAATGAAAAGGGGACTTTCGTGGAAAATTTCTTATACATAATTCGAACTTTTAACAATATTTATTAACGCATCATAAATTATTTTTTTTTCACCTCCAATTTCGTCGAAAGAAAATCGCATGGAGGATAGAATGCGTGTATTATGGCGAGAAAAGAATAGGTCTAATGATAATATCTAAAATTATATTTTACTAATATATATATTTGGAGATTTGAATTTGGAAAATAATTGAGTCTGGATCTATACATAAATAACTTGTTTAGTACCCCAAATCCAATACGAAATGATGCATTTAATTAGATTGTCAATTTAGGCCGAGGTTCGAAGCCCGGTCCAGTCTAACCCAAAAAATAACGGGTTTTGAGTCTAAATTGTTCGACCCGAAAACCCGATATTTTTTTTTAAAAAAACTTAATAAAAAAGGAAAAAAATTTATAAAAGATTTTGAACGGTTCGATCCGATTGACACCCCTACAATTAATGTGTTACGAATTCGGGATAGATTCGGTCTTCAGATAATTTGTACACAGCCGCGTGGTCAAAACACATTTATCTAAGTTAGTCATAGTGAATAATATTCAAATCCCTAATTAAAGGTATCAAATTAACTGTATTTCTATTCTATAAAAAATATCTTTTTCTTTTCTTTTCATGTGGAAACTTTTTATAGTTGAAAACCCCCATTTTGTAAATAAATTCAGCAAGATTTGACTTTTAAAATCATAATCTTCAATGAGATTCAATATTTCGAAAAATATGGAAAGATGTAATAGATATATATATATATACACATCACATTATTAGATTTCATTTCTAAAGTTTCTTATAAATACCCAACACAATAGCTTAAAAAATTCATTCCAATAGTTTGTATTCTTCTTCTTCTTTTTTTTTTTTTTTCCTTCGTTCGTTTTCTTTTTAGAGCAGTAAAAAAGGCAAAATGGTGGAGTTGGAGATATAAGTCTAACAAAAGTCGAGATGAAGACGACCAAAATACTTATAAGTTGGATGTCTTCTTCATCTCGATCTTTTGTTTGTCTTGTTTTTTCCACATGAAAATTAAAAGCAATTTTTATGTTCGGTGTGTTAATTAATTACGATGGTCGCTTTTTATGATTTACTCATCCCATATAGGCGTGTGTGTGTGTGTGTGTATACGTGTATAATATAATCTTGTCATTATTATTGATTGATGAAAATTAAGGCGGCACTAATTATTTCTAAAATGCACATCATGTAAGTAACTTGGGAGGAACCCATTTGGTAAAAACTTGAAATTGGATGAAATTTGCATTTTTACATGTTTTTTTTTTATTTGTTTTATCATTGAAGCATAAGGCACCCAAATTGCATAATCATTTTGACATTCTAACCGAAATAACCGAGGATCGAATTCGAGACCAATTCGTATCTAAATATGGATCTCGAAATTGTGTTTAGTGACACTTGTATTAAAAGAATGTACAATTAATAAGCATATTTTAACATGTATCGTAAAATATAATAATATTCCATGAATTAAATGATTTTTTGGATCATCAATTTGGAAGCACTCGTCTTTTGACAATGACATGATAATTGTGGGAAATGAGTTTTTTGGTTATTTCAGGCCATCAACTTCCCTGCAGATTCCGAGGCAAATCCCTCGCAATTTTCAATCCCTCCACTCTCGGTACCGATCCACTTATATTTTATTCTCTCTATATATATATATAGTAATGTAAAATCATTTCTTAAATAATTGAAAGACGGTCCACGGCAAATAAATATATAAATAAATCAATGGGTGTGTCCATGCCACGGTTGCCAATAAACAAGAATCATTGGTCTTTTTTGTCCTGCTTTTTTTTTCTTCCTACTTGCAATTATGCATGATTATATATATATATATATATATATATATATATGCATATAAGATCATTGATTCGCACACATGTACATATACACGTCGTGTATATATATATATATATGACTTATTAATGGAGGGGATATGGGTGTCTAGAAGTAGAGCTATTGCGAATAAAAGAAAAAGAAAAAGAAAATAAAAAACGGAGCTTAGGTCAGAGGCGGATCCACTTGAGAATGAGTGGGGGCACTGGCCTCCACTAATTTTTATTTTTTTTAAAATTATTTATAGAATTTAAGAAAAATTCTAAAAAAACACCCTTAATACCCCCACTTAAATTTTGTTTGGACCCCACCGTTTTTCATTTTAAATGTATTTTACGAGATTTAACAAATCAAATCTTATGTCCCATATTTTTTTCCTTTTTTTTCTTGTTTTCCATTTTTTAAGTTGTTATTTTTATCTTTGATCAAACAAAAAATCATTATCAATTGAATAATAATCAAACTAAAACTATAAATAAAAAAATTTAAACATATTTAAAAATTATGATTGTTATTTTAAACAATTTTTTTATTTGATTTTATGTATTTATTATATTTATCAATTTATCTATATATATATTTATATATTTATTTAATTTTTTATTTGATTTATCAGAAAAATCGATAAATTTATTTTAAAATAATTTGGTAATATTATCTTAATATTGTGGTAAAATTTTAACGAGAATACATAATTTTTTATAAATTATCTGATTTATTTTATCAAAAATATATTTAAAATAATTAGAAATTGAATTACATAAATATATTTAAAAAATAAAAAACGTAAAATTCAGTTATCCGATATAAATATTCTTTAGACGATATATTTTTATTAATTTTGTATATTATATATATTACTATTATCGTATTGCCCCCGGTGAAAAAATTTTCTGGATCCGCCACTGGCTTAGGTCATAAGGGGGAATAAATCAGATTTCTGCAAAAGTTGATAAAGACGTAAAATATTTCCATTCTTTGTAATGATTTGCTGATGTTATACTTCGCGGAAACTTATCATTTTTTTATATTTGAATTAAAGAAAAATCAAAGCTTAAAGTTTTCCAAAAATTTTCTAGTCAATCGATACGTTCAATTTGTTTTGACCATTTGACCAAATAAACCATAAAACATTAAAACAATTAAAATGACATACTGAGTTTACAATAACTTTATGAAATATACCTAAATTTGGGAAATTCAATCGATGAAATAGAATACAAAATGTCTATCCCGTCCCGACTTCAAACTTTAAATTTGGGGAAAAAAGTATTCTAAATAATCTAGCTGACTCTCCGGACTGAGATTAGTTTGAGGCTTGGTCCGGATACACGGTCACAAAAAAAACTTTATGAAATATAATTTGTATTAACTAAAAATTGTAGAACATACTGAGTTCCCAATAACTTACCAATTTCTTACTTTTCTTTTTATTTTTGCTAATGGTATATTTACAGGAAAAAAAAAATCTCTTCGGTTTCAAAAAGAAAGGAACTTGGAGGACTTATGGATTTTGCCAAAAAAAAAAAAAAGAAGCAACAAATAAACTTTCGGGATAGGTAGGGAGATTTTCGTTGACGAAATTAAAATAGAGACTTCGAAGAAAACAAAAGAATGGTGCTTTTAATGCATGTCTATTAAGAAATAAATGTATATGTTTTTCTTTAAATTTTATTTTCAATTATTGGCCCTTTGATATGACTTTCCATTATATATCATAGTCAATATGTGTTTATATATACATGCATAGATATAGATATGTAATATAGATATGCATATGTTTATTTATAAATTGATTTTTCCTGCGTTATGGCGTGGTAATTTTACTCAAATGACCCACTTGGCTCGCACTTATTTCACGTGTACACTAGAAAAAATATAACCTTTTTTTTGTTGAAAAGACGAAATTACCCTTAATGAATACGCGATTTTTATCCGTTCGAAAACAACTTCGTTATTACGACTTCGTAATTAATTCTAAATATAGTTATAATTGATTATAAAAAAGGTGGCAAAAAAATCAACTGTTTTATTTTAGTTGTATATCAGTTATATGTTAGTTGTAATAAGATCGCAAAAAATAAAACGAAAAGGGTATTTCGGACTTTTCCAACTAAAAAGTGGGTTAAAATTGAAATTTTTTTTTTCGGTGGTGTACACTGAAATTGGTGTGACCGTTATTTGAGTAATATTCCCGGATGGCGTGGGTGTCTATGAACCGTAATTAATGAGGAAAAAAAAAGGAAAAACTGTGGAGATCAGATCTTAAGGGAAAATCGGACAGATTCCCACAGCAGTGACGTCTATGAATTTTGGGATTATTATATTTTGGAGAAACTTCTATACATTTTTTTTAAAAATTGAATCCCAAAAGTCAAGCAGATTTTCTGCTGAATTTCAAATCATTTCGATCTATGACTAAAATGTACTCTCCTTTTTTATTTTTATGAATTATTAAAATCTAGGAATTGATAAAAAAACCGGTGAATACGTCAAAAAAATACTCTCTATTTACTATTTTGATTTAACCTAATATCATTTGGATAAATGATTGTTATATTGGTTTTACGGTTAAATTTATGGTGGTTTCACGGAATAATTAATGTAATATATAAGGTGTAACCATGATAATTTGATATGATCACCATAAATTTAACATTATGACTAATGTAACCTATTGTAATTCTGATCATATCGTTATATCTGGAAAATAGTACGAATTGAAGTTAAAATAATAAATAAAAAGTATTTTGGATAATGCACCGATAAACTTAAAAAACAAAGAAAAAAAGGAAAAAATGATAAAATCATATATATATATCTATATTTCGGATTAGGATTTAACACTAATGCATTCAATTTTTATTCCTTTTAATCGTATTTAACAAAAGACATTTATGATTAAAAAAAAAAGTGCCAAATAATCATACCATGAACATGAAGGTTTAGTACTAATTATAATTTACAAAAATATTTTGTGTATTTGTAAATGGATGGAGGTCGACAGATATCGAACCATATGTTAATGTTTGAGCTGCTTCTTAATTAGGTGTATGGAAAATAACGGTTGATGTTGGAATCACGTGTGTATATTCGAAAAAATAATATATAATAATATCTAAATTTCATATCACCTAATTAAATATTATAAGGTACAAATGTATACATATTATCTGAAGTATCTAAACCCATTTTATATTCAAATGGTAATTAAAATGAAAATTTGGTATTCTGAGCAAACCGATGGCATACAAATATTGTTCAATAATATCTAACTGTACAATATTATCAAGTACATAAATTATATATTTAATTATCTGTAGTTTTAGAAGTATTTGGTATTTATTTTATAAAAAGGTTATATCTATTAGTAGACATGTTTTCTTTGAATTTTTAATTTTTGAATATCTATATAATGGATGGGTCATGAATTTATTTACATTTTAATTGATTTAATATGTTCATGTTTAAAATGTTTGAATATTGAATGTGGTTTGGATTCCATAAACTTATAGACGTGTTATGTGTTTCAGTGGACTTTTTTTTTATAAATTTTTATATTGTATCTCGAATCTTTTAGATTCAATGCGGACATTTGCAAATATGATTGGATATCCAAAATCGCTAATATTCTAAAATAATGGATCATATAAAAATAATGCAATTTAATATTTGCATGGATACAGATACTAATATTCAGAGAATCCTGGATATCACAGACCCCTATTATTATTTATTACCATATTTTAATAAAAAACATTATCATAGACAAAAATCGAATAATTGTACTGAATATATATTGTAAGGCTGTATTATTATTTTTATACAAAAACACATTATTAAATGAAATAAAAATATAAAATTTTGAAAAGAAGAATAATTTAATTTCTGTTACTGGATCGCTGAATTTCAATTATAATAATAGAAGAAATTTGTGCACTTCAAGATGATAACCAATTCTCCCATTGGAGAATAAGGGAAAAAATGATAATTAATTTCTCCATAATTAAAAAAAAAACATTATATACGCCCAATCATTGTGTTGCACAACAGTTTATCTCTTGGCAACAAGCCAACGACGACGACGAAAAGTGCTCTAATACGTGAAAGAAATACGGAAATTTATTTATATTTTTTATTTATTCGAGTTAAAAATAAGTTTTAAAAATTAAATTTTAAAAAAGTGAGTTTTCCTACTCGGGCAAATAATATTATCATAAATCTAATTAACTTAATATTATCATACGGCATGGCTTCGATTCAAGATTTGAGAAAGAAAAAAATAGAATTGAATTGCATAGTAGAATTTTCACACACAATAATATTACAAATCAATCTTCTGTTACATAAAAATAGATAATATTTTACATACATAAATTAACAGTAAATTTTAATACTTACGAGTAGTTAATTCTTTTAGAAGAATAATTATTCCAATGGCTATTTGGTGGTAAGGGTCACAATTTTGATTCGGCTAACTGCAAACCCAACCGATATAATAACCAATAGTAAAATTAAATCTGGTTTTAAATTTTATAATACTAAAAATTAAAAAAGTTAAATCTGAATTCACTGTAGTAAATTGAAAAAAAAAATTAAAATAATGTTTTTATTAATAAAAATTGAATTCAAACAAAACTAAAGTGAAACCAATATAAAAATAAAACGGTTATAATTTTAAAAAAAACACATTCTAAGCAAACCCAATCTAAAATAGTTGGCAATATTTAGAAAAAAAAAAGTATTATAAAGAAAGAGTAAAACCCATCAGCGGGTGATCGAGTGGCGAAAGGGTGTTGCTCTTTGGGCCCCGATCGCCAGTTCGAAACCAGCTGATGGAGAGGGAGGGGTATTTCTCGGTTAGGAGGGTGTTGTTTTATGGGTCTCTGTCGCCGGGTCTCTAAATGCTGCTCCCGGGTCTAGGGGATGTAGGTTAGGCCGAAGGCCCAGGTGAACCTGCTGGTTAACGAAAAAAAAAAAAAAGGAAAAAAAAAACTAAGAATCGAACATTTTCCATTGGAAAATTTACATGTAAACTTACGAGGAAAATCAGCCGAAACAGCAAATCCACTTCAAGACTGTAATCTATATATTTCAGGACTTGCGATCCCCTGTTCTTCACGTGTCTGTCTGCCAATTACTATCGCTCTTTGGTTCTAAAGACAGACCAAATCACTTCTCTCTCTCTCTCCAATCACTCTTCCATGGCTTCACTTCGATTTTCTCCTCCTAATTTTCTGGGCACAAACCCTAGAAAATGCAACTTCAGTTCTTCCTCTCAAATCCAAACCAAATTCTGCACTCAAAACTTTAACCAGGTTCTCTCTCTCTCTCTCTCTCTCTCTGTGTTTTGTTGTGTGTGTTTTCGTTTGATTATTGAAACCCTGTTGTCGGAAACAGAGGTTCCAGTCATGTTCAATGTCGATGAACGGTTGTGAAGCGGACCGAAAAGCGCCACTAGGCGCGACGGAGACGAGGACTTTCCCCGCGGTCCTGTCGCCGGAAGCGGCGGCGGCGAGGCTTATCTCCGCCGTGTCGGATCTCAAAACCGATCCGCCGCCGTTCTCCTCCGGCATCATCCGGCTGCAGGTACGTCACGTTAATTTTCCCTCGTTTTTTTAGATACCAACTTGATCTCTGTCGGATATAGTTTTTTTTTACGTAGGGGTTCACTTTAAAATTAAATTATATCATAATATATGCATAAAAAGAATATCCCACGTAATTATTTGTACACGAGAGTAAACTATAATTTTTCATTTTACGTAACATCACATATAGAAAGGTTTGAAAAATAATATAATAAAATTTATATATTTTATTTTAATAGAATTCTAATATATAACTCTACAAAATGTTTGGTTGATTTGCAATTTTTATATTTTTTTAATATGTAATCCATATCATATATAACACATCCAATTAATGCAAGTTTTGGTTCTTCAAATTTCGGCATTGTGATAAAATTGGTGGAACTGATATTATCACAGTAGCGTAGCTAGATTCCTCTACAAAAAGAAAAATGAAAAGATTTTTTCGTTTCAATAATTTAATTATCGATAATAATTATATTATATCGTCACAACTTTATCAGCAATATTCAATAAAAAAATTAAATTTTGTTTTGCCAACAATTCCTTACCATATTGATTTTACGAATTACAAAAGTAAATTTTGGCCTTTTCATATAAAACACAGACAAGTTCTTTTGTCAAACATGTCTCCTTCATATATGAAAAGGCCAAAATTTACCTTTGTAATTCGTAAAATCAATATGGTACGGAATTGTTGGCAAAACAAAATTTAATTTTTTTATTGAATAAAAAAATGTTGTAATAGAGCCCACGTCATAATATCCGAAAGCCAGATAATAAATATAATTAATTCCCTCTAAGGTTTATATGGACAGAAATTAACACGAAAGCTAGTTTTTGTGGGGGAAGATATATATAATCTTTATAAGAAGCATCAACCACTCTCATATACTTCCCTTCAACCGATATATACTTTTGTAAATTTATAAATGGATTGTTTACCATACTTTGATAGATAATTGGAATTTTAAAAAAAATAATTATGTAAAAAAAGGACAAAGCTAAACATCAAAATATACTATTCATTTATACAAATGAAACAAATAAATCTGTATTTTTTTGCCTGAATTGATGTTTTTGGATATTTCTTAAATTCATTGTCTTAATAATGGAGACAAAAAAAATATAAATTTTATCTTTTGAACATTCTAATTAAAAAAAAAAAAATTAAATGGACGTTCCCATCGATTGATGATGACACTCGCTCCCTGCGCAAAAGTTCACCTTAGACTTTGGAGCTCCCAATTGGAGCCCTAATTCGCGATCTTACACCAGCCCCAATTTTCGGCAGGTTCCGATTGACCAGAAAATCGGGGCGATCGATTGGCTTCATGCCCAGAACGATGTTCTTCCTCGTTGCTTCTTCTCTCGTCGCAGCGAAACTGGTCGTCCTGATCTTCTCCTCGACTTCGCAAGCGAAAATGGCAACAAACGCAGAAACGGGTGCGGATTGTCCGATCACAATCTGGTTAGCGTTGCCGGCATTGGATCTGCGGTGTTCTTCCGTGAAGTAAGCCCCTTTTCTCATGATGACTGGAAATCGATTCGAAGGTAATTTCACGATTACCCAGATTCAGATTCATTCTTTTCTTCATCTAATTTGATGGTTTCTGTTATTTTCCTTGTCATTTTCAGTATTTCGCCTTTTTTGTTTATTGTATCGTTTAATCTTTCGCTACTTTAAGCAATTGGGTTTCCTCGGTTTTGCTTTTGAAGGTTTCTGTGTTCCAAATCGCCTCTAATTCGTGCGTACGGTGGCATGCGATTTGATCCTTACAGTAGGATCTCTACGGAGTGGGAACGATTTGGTTCATTTTACTTTACGGTTCCTCAGGTACAGGATTCTTCGTGACGAAGTTTGGAAGTCATGGAAGATGATCATTTCTCTCTCATCCATGCCGATGTTATTGGTTGCTTTACATACAGGTTGAGTTTAATGAGTTTACGGGAAGCTCGATGCTTGCCGCTACTGTTGCATGGGACAATCAACTCGCGTGTTCACTGGAAGATGCCATTGAATCGCTCTTGGAGGTTATGCTTCAGGTTGCTGAAATGTCTTCCCTCCTCATTTAGTTTATGAATTTGTTCTGTTGAATCTGTTCTTTATGGGATTTATCTGAACGTCACATTGTTCGTGTAATCTTTGATGGGTCAGGTTTCTTCTGTGGTAAAGAGGTTACAAAGGGAAAGTCTTGTAGTATCTGTTCTTAGCAAGAACCATGTTCCGAGCAAAGGAGCATACCACCCAGCTGTGAGGAGAGCTTTGCAGTTGATAAAGGAACGCGGTTCATCCCTTGACAAGGTAATTTACGTCACATATCTACTCTGTGTTTTTGTTGATTCCACTGTAATCAGGATTTTTGTTCGGAAATCAGGTTGTGCTTGCACGTTGCAGCAGAATCATAACAGATATCGATATTGATCCTATAGCCTGGTTAGCACGGTTGCAGGTATCTTTCTTCTCTGCTCATTCTATGGTCTAATTAATTTTCGCAATTAAGCAATGTTGAGAGTTAACCTCTAAAAAAGCAATGTCGAGAGTTAGTTTTCGCGATTAGACAATGTTGAGATTTAGTCTCAAAATAAGCTATTAATGTGACAGCTTGAAGGGCAAGATGCTTATCAGTTCTGTGTTCAACCACCTGGTGCACCAGCTTTTATTGGAAACACGGTATGCTTCTTATTCTACTTCGTTTTATGTAATCGATTGGAATTGTTTTACGCATTTAGATGAAATGGAAATGCTGCTTAGAAAAATATCTAGAGCACACTTTCTTTTCTTTTTTATACTATCAGTGCTTGTACAGATGTTGGTGGAGGACCATGTTTTATAACGTGTCTTTTGGTTTTTACTGGTAAACTCTGAAATTGAATGTTATGCTGACATAAAAGTTTTCTGGAATAGCCCGAGAGGCTCTTCCACAGAAATCAGCTTGGTGTTTGCAGTGAAGCTCTGGCTGCAACCCGGCCTAGAGCTGAGTCGGTGGCTCATGATATGCAGATAGAGCGTGACTTACTTACCAGGTGATCTTTTCATCTATGTTCTTTGAATGTGTATGGAAAAAAATTTTCCAGTCGGGTGTTTAGAAACGGATAGATATTCATAATGACATTGTTTCCAAAACTTTTGCAGTCCCAAAGACGATCTTGAGTTTTCTATCGTGCGGGAGAATATAAGGTCAAAATTTGAAGTAAGTTGTGGTTGCTTCTCACTCCTCAAGTCCTGTCTCTACCCAAAGAAATATATATTCACTGTTAGCTTCTGTACTGGCTCTTTACCATGTGAAGCTGGTGCTTGTTTTAAGCTGCTGGCCTTCGTTTAGTAGAAGACCTGAAAATGTTCATTCAGATATGATCATCTGATTTATTTTCCTATAATACTCTCTTTTGGCATTGCAGGGCATATGTGAAAGTGTAGTTGTTAAACCCAATAAAACCGTGAGGAAGCTCGCGAGAGTGCAGCACCTATATTCACAAATAGCAGGCCGGTTAACACAGGAAGATGATGAGGTGCAGATTATATTGTTTTGTGCTTTGACATTGTAGTATCCATTGCTATACATTTTAGTCTCTTGTCTCTGAATTTCTGTAGAGGTCCATTCATGCATGCACTATAGATTAGATCCTCTAGCAATCATCTTCAGGATATTGGCGGTTGGACTCAAAGTTATGTGCATCCATTCTCGGAATTTGACGCTTAGCTTATTCATTATCCTTTGTCTGTTTTTTCAGTTTAACATCTTGAGTACTCTGCATCCAACTCCAGCTGTTTGTGGGTACCCAGCAGAGGAAGCTCGGCTTTTGATCAAGGAAATCGGTGTGTACTCTCTCTGTTTCTTCCTATTCTTAATTTTGGGTTTAGTGGATCGAGCTATTCCCGGGTAGATCCTCGGTTGAGATTAATATTTTGTCTGGTAAATGTTCTTGCAGAGCCATTTGATCGAGGAATGTATGCCGGGCCTGTTGGATTTTTCGGAGGCGGGGAGAGCGAGTTTGCCGTCGGCATCAGGTCTGCTTTAGTCGAAAAGGTGAGAGCTTTAACTACGTTTCCTCTGCTGGTGTGATATTTCACAACTTTGATTCATGTTGGCACACTCTATGGTCATGTGGGTTTATAATGTAACTGTCATATACTTCAATTAAGCATTATTATTATGATTATGATCATGTAATGGATTTGTTCTGGTGACAGGGAATTGGTGCATTGGTCTATGCGGGAACTGGAATAGTTGCAGGGAGTGATCCGTCATCGGAGTGGAACGAGCTCGAGCTCAAGATATCTCAGGTGACGAAAGAAAGCCTCTGAAACAAACAGAGTATTTTCTTTGCATTGTGAAATCTTGTTTTATGTCCCCTTTAATTATGTTTAAACGTATCGTCGCAGTTCACAAAGTCGCTTAAACAAGAGGTGGCTTTGCAGCCGCAGCCGATTAATTGAAGATCAGTAACCCAACCGCGCATATATATATATATATATACACAGAGGGGGGGGGGGCTCTCGTTTACTTGTTCATGTAATACGATAAAAAAACAATGGGGGTTTTAAATTTTAGTGTTGTAAATAGAATATGGCAATGTTGCTATGTTCAATATAAGTAATATTCTAATATATAAGCTATGAAGTTTTCGAAAGTATATTTTTTTTTATTAACACAAGATTGGATCTCTCAATGGATAAGAAATGGAGCAAACTTTCTACCCAATTCGGGTCCGAGTCTTTATTTGGGGAGAAATATTTACATCGGTTTTTTTATCTTCTCCGATCTCCTGAAAAACATAATCGCGTCAAAGAATCGGTGAATTTCCAGATTAAAAAAATATAGTAAATAAAAATCGATTTTTCGGAAGATATAGTTGGGTGAAAGAAACGGAATATAAAAATATTGTAACAAGAATAAGAGCGCAATGTTCGAGAAGAAAAAAACTTTGTTTGAAAAACTAAGGACGGCAAGAAAAGGGGGGCAGTGGCACAACACAAGCTTCATCGTGTACGGTGTTGTGTGTGACAAAATCAAGAAACACAATGGTCCTACGTGATACAATATGTTACTCATAATAATTAAAACCCCGAGAATTCGCCACTTTTATCGATTCATGTAAACTATATTTGTTCATTTTACATAAAACTATGGGATAATACAAGGTAAAAATAAATGAGATGGCCTATGCCTTTGGAAATTAATCTATATTTATTACTATTGTAATAAAAAAAATGCCCTTACCATTAAATCCTATTAAATTGTGATTTCTGACATGGATGATTTTTTTTTTATATTTTTAATTAGGAACCACCATAAAATATGATTTTTTATTTTATTTTTGATGTTGGTTTAAATAAAACGAGCTCATTATCCAGAAGTTGAATATAAATTGAAATCGCTAATAATGTTTTAAAAACATGAAATAAATCGCTATATGGTATAAAAAAAATTATATAAATGGATATTTCTCTTTTTTATATGTCGATAGTACTATAAGACTTCATTTTGGTATGTTAATCAAATAATTTATCATTGTAAAATCATAATCCCTTCTCAGCCATTGGTCTGTCTATTTTGGACGCCATTGCTTATTGGAGCATGAACAGCAAGCATACTGTAAAATAACAGAAAATCATCCGAAAAGCATTAGAATAAAATAATAAATACATACATACGTACCTACATATATATATATATATATTATGTATAACGGGAAAAGGAGGAAAGCCTTGGTGAGAGAGAATGGAATCCGATTTCCCATTATCTCAGCAAACGCCAAAAATTCCTCTCTTTATACCCTCGAGAAAAAAAAAGAGAATATTAAATATTTTTTTTATATAAATTGTTACATTATAAAAAATATTCGATTTAAATAACAATTACAGGTAAAGCATTTATCTTTAACAGTCATTTATTTTTTTTTCTAATCATATGCTTTGCCTCTTGACATGTATCTGAATCAGATTTGTCTGTTAGATTCTTTTTAACACATTTTCCAGATTTATGTCGAAATATAAAAAAAAAGTATTTTGAAATAATTTCATTTAAAACCGCACTTTATAAGTTTGTTGTCTTTAAACATTAGTGTTCGTATTTAGTACTAAAATATGATAAAGAAAAACATTACCTATTTCGCAAGACCATAGATTTTATATTGTCTATTTATATTTAAACTAAATAATATATCATTTCAACAAGAAAGTTACATTATATAAAAATCAATCGAATGGAGAGAATGAATAACAATTGGACCGTAATCTAAAAAACGATTATATACAATATTTTATAATTAAATAGAATATCCCGTTTATCTTCTTTTAGCATAATCTTCACAATTTTTAATACGATTAAAACCAATTTTTTTACACAATATAACAGATATTATTTCGTTATTTTCCATACATATTTATATATTATTCAATGCAAATATCTAGTGAATAAAAAAACACATGGTGAAAAATTCATCGTTGTAATAACCAAAACGAATCATTACAAAGAAAATAATAAGACTAATAATAAATAGAAATAGAAATAGAAATTACAGGAAAAAATGCTTTACAGAAGGAATATATTCAATATATATTGGAAAAAAAGAATATATCCAATAATAAAATAAAGCACGCCTCAAAAGCGAAGAAGAAGAAAAAAATAAACCGTCATCTTCCGCGATCACCGCCAAATCTCTATCCCCAAGCAAAAGTCCACCAAATTCTCTCTCCCCCCGCAGAATCATCGAACGATGAGAAGACGATGAACACGCCTCCGCCGCCGTTTCAGCCGGAGCCAACGCCATTTCATCAGCCGCCGGCGAGAACCCAGCGGAGGCTCATCGTGGAGATTGTGGAGGCGCGAGATCTCCTCCCAAAAGACGGACATGGAAGCTCGAGCGCTTACGTCGTCGTCGACTTCGATGCCCAGAAGAAACGGACATCGACCAAGTTCCGAGACCTCAACCCTGTCTGGAACGAGATGCTCGAGTTCGTCGTCTCCGACCCGAAGAACATGGAGCGCGAGGAGCTAGATGTTGAGGTCTACAACGACAAGAGGTTTGGCAATGGAAGTGGTCGGAAGAACAATTTCCTCGGGAGGGTTAAGATTTACGGCAGCCAGTTCGCAAGGAGAGGTGAAGAGGGGCTTGTGTATTTTCCATTGGAGAAGAAGAGTGTTTTTAGTTGGGTTCGTGGTGATATTGGGCTGAAGATTTACTATTTTGACGAAGTAGCGGAGGAAGAGCCGCCACCGCCACCGCCGCAAGGGGAGGATTCGCTGCCTCCGCCGCAAGTGCTGCATAATCTGCCGCCGGAAAAGCCGTCTCCGGGTGTGGTTGTGGTGGAGGAGGGAAGGGTTATCGAAGGTCCCGTTCCATCGGAAATGTGTCATCGGAGCTTTCCGGAGGCTCAGCCTCCGCCAATGGTCGTCGTCGAGGAGTCTTCTCCGCCGCAAATGGTTGGGCATGTTCACTGTACTCGACCGCCGTCGCCTCCTCCGTCAGCGCACCCAGTGGCGCCGGTGTCGGAGGTGCATTATTATCCGCCTGAGGTGAGAAACATGCAGGCGGCGAGACCTCCGATTGGAGAGAGAGTTAGGATCCCGAAGAAACCCAATGGAGATTTCTCGCCGAGGGTTATAAACAGCAAAATCGGAGGAGAGACGGTGGCGACGGCGGTTACGGCGGAGAGGAGCCGTCCGTACGATCTGGTGGAGCCGATGCAGTATCTGTTCGTAAAGATCGAGAAAGCTCGTGGGCTTGCCCCGAGCGACGGTGCGTACGTCAAGGTGCGTACATCGAACCACTTCAAACGGACAAAGCCGGCGATTTACCGACCCGGCGAACCCACCGACTCACCGGAGTGGAAACAGGTCTTCGCTCTCGGACACAACAGGGCAGATTCCGCCGTCTCCGGCGAGACACTCGAGATCTCAGTCTGGGACGCTCCGTCAGAGAGTTTCCTCGGCGGCGTTTGCTTCGATCTCTCCGAGGTTCCGGTCCGAGACCCACCAGACAGTCCACTCGCGCCTCAGTGGTACCGTCTCGAAGGCTCCGCTACCGACCAGAGCTCCGGGAGAGTCTCCGGCGACATCCAACTCTCTGTCTGGATTGGAACCCAAGCCGACGAAGCCTTCCCGGAGGCTTGGAGCTCCGACGTGCCGCACGTGGTGCACACGCGCTCCAAGGTTTACCAATCTCCGAAGCTCTGGTACTTGAGAGCGACGGTCGTAGAAGCTCAGGATCTCCACATCGCACCGAATCTTCCGCCATTGACGGCTCCCGAGGTCCGCGTAAAAGCCCAGTTAGGATTTCAGTCAGCTCGAACAAGCCGAGGCTCGATGAACAACCACAGTGGGTCATTTCACTGGAACGAGGACTTAATCTTCGTCGCCGGTGAACCATTGGAGGACTGTCTGATTCTGGTTGTGGAAGACAGGACAACCAAAGAGACGCAACTTCTCGGTCACGCCATGATTCCGGTGAGCTCAATCGAGCAGCGAATCGATGAGCGCCATGTGCCCTCAAAATGGCACACCTTGGACGGTGGCGGCGGAGGAGGACCGTACTGTGGTCGGATCAGCCTCAGGCTATGTCTTGAAGGAGGGTATCACGTGCTTGAGGAGGCTGCTCACGTGTGCAGCGATTTCCGGCCGACGGCGAAGCAGCTATGGAAGCCGGCGATCGGAATTCTGGAGCTTGGGATTCTTGGCGCTCGTGGGTTGTTGCCGATGAAGGCGAAGGATGGTGGAAAAGGTTCGACCGATGCTTATTGTGTTGCAAAGTACGGGAAAAAATGGGTTCGGACACGTACCATAACGGATAGTTTCGACCCTCGATGGAACGAGCAGTATACATGGCAGGTTTACGATCCGTGCACGGTACTTACCATCGGCGTTTTCGACAATTGGAGGATGTTTTCAGACATTTCCGACAATAGACCCGACACCCGAATCGGGAAAATAAGGATTCGGGTTTCGACCCTTGAGAGCAACAAGGTTTACACCAATTCGTATCCTTTAGTGGTGTTGTTACCGAGCGGTTTGAAAAAGATGGGTGAGATCGAAGTAGCCATTCGATTCGCTTGCCCGTCATTGCTGCCCGATATATGTGCAGTTTACGGGCAACCGCTCCTTCCACGGATGCATTACGTTCGTCCACTTGGTGTAGCCCAACAAGAGGCGTTAAGAGGCGCTGCGACGAAGATGGTAGCAGGGTGGTTGGCTCGGGCTGAGCCGCCATTGGGTTCCGAGGTGGTTCGATACATGTTGGACGCGGATTCGCACACGTGGAGCATGAGGAAGAGCAAGGCAAATTGGTACAGGATCGTCGGGGTTTTGGCATGGGCCGTCGGGTTGGCGAAATGGTTGAATAGCATAAGGCAATGGCGCAATCCGGTGACGACAATTCTAGTTCATATCTTGTATTTGGTTCTCGTATGGTACCCAGATTTAGTAGTCCCCACGGGTTTTTTGTACGTCGTAATGATCGGGGTTTGGTATTACCGGTTCAGGCCCAAGATACCGGCCGGTATGGACGTCCGGTTATCTCAAGCCGAGATGGTTGATCCTGATGAGCTAGACGAAGAGTTCGATACAATTCCGAGTTCAAGACGGCCCGAGGTGATACGAGCAAGGTATGACCGGCTAAGGATCTTGGGGGTGAGGGTTCAAACGATATTAGGCGACCTAGCGGCGCAAGGGGAACGGATTCAAGCACTGGTTAGTTGGAGGGACCCAAGGGCGACGAAGTTGTTCATAGCGATATGCTTGGCGATCTAGACGAAGAGTTCGATACAATTCCGAGTTCAAGACGGCCCGAGGTGATACGAGCAAGGTATGACCGGCTAAGGATCTTGGGGGTGAGGGTTCAAACGATATTAGGCGACCTAGCGGCGCAAGGGGAACGGATTCAAGCACTGGTTAGTTGGAGGGACCCAAGGGCGACGAAGTTGTTCATAGCGATATGCTTGGCGATCACGATCGTGCTGTACGTTGTGCCGCCGAAGATGGTGGCGGTGGCATTAGGGTTTTACTATCTCCGGCATCCGATGTTTCGGCACTGGATGCCTCCGGCGAGTCTCAATTTTTTCCGGCGGCTGCCGAGTTTGTCCGATCGGCTGATTTAGGGAGTGGGAAGGAAAGGATAATTTGAGTTTTCCCGAATAAGAAAGGGTTTGGAATAAAGACGAGTTTTTATGGGGAAGCAACCATTGTGATTCTTTTTAATCGCTATTGTTGCTATTATTTTATTATTATCATTAATATAATTAATTCGTTAGGAACTTTTTTTCTCTCTCGAAATTTACATGAGATTGAGACCCGACCATATTCCAAGCTTTTTGAAAAGAGACAGAGGGGGGACAAGGGCGTGTAAAGCTCTGTGGTCAAACATGTCGGAAATGTTTTTGACAAATTGAAAACAATAATCTTTCTAGATTGAATAAAAATAACTAAGAATAGAAATGTGTTTTTGGAAATTATCATCTCTTATATATATATAAACTAAACCAATAATGACAAAGATCAAGGCTGAAGGGGGAGCGAGTGCAGTGACTGCTGAAGAAGAAAGAGAGCTACTTGGGAGCCAAAATCCCAACTCAGATCTCAAGGCAGTCCTTGACGCCTTTCTCAAACTTGTCAAGATGAGAAATAGTTTCCGCAAGAGCATCTGCAATCTTCGCTCTGGCGACAAATGGGAAGAGAAAGAAAATTAAAATCATACAATAAGAATGTTAGACAGACAAAGGAGTCTCAAAATCACACACAAGTTTTATGGAAGTCACTTCTTTATGCATCTCCCAGCGTATGCTATCTTAACATGTAGAAGTTTGGCAAGGGTCACTTAGGGTTTTCAGCTTGGGAACCGACTCATTTAGCCCACGGTGGTTTTCTATACGGGTTTAAAGAATCCCAACCCATCTCGTCAAAAAACGAGTTGGTTTAGAGCCAACTCGTGAGCCATGAATCCGTTTTACACCCCTATTGTAGAATATTAAAGATCATGCCAACTTGAAATCAAGCGAGAAGCTACATTTCCAACCGAGGCAGATAGGCCGTTTGGAAAGAAAAGTCGGAATGCGGGAGCAGAGTATATAGGCAGAAAGATAGCACCATCGTCTTCCTTGTTGATCAGGGCTTAGCAGAGGAACACTAACCTATCTGAAGGAAGTTTAATATCGATTCCATTTGCCAGCCCGTTGAGTGAACTGAAGGACCTGCAATTGGAAATTTGGAATACACCGAATAAGCAGCAGCAGACTATACAAGGAGCAAGAACATAGTTGATCACAATATGTAGTTCTCCTCTACATTGATGTCGCAGCATTGAGAAAGTTGGCGAATTGTTTTCTCGTAAAAAGAACTAAAACCAGACACCCTTCAGCTTTTCGTCGTGCAAATCGAAAGGAATCACATCAGAACATAGTATAGTTCACCTAACAAGATCATCTAGCGTATTCTCGGCTGCCAATTTGAGAGGATCCTTACTATCCAGCAAAGAAGCCGCATTCTTCACGACCAACTTGAACGTGCAAACCTGGACACGTACCTTAATCTGTTCTTATGGCTTTCATCTACCCGAATTGTGTTCTACTATACGAATTATCCAAACAGGATTATCGCAGAAACACGCGTTTAGCCATTTAAGAGGTATCCATTAGACGGGAAAGGGAAGAGACAAAACCTCAACTCCGGTTTTGGACTGGAAATCCACAAGAGAATTTCTATCTTCGGGAACGCAGTCTCTTCCAGAAGACTTTAAGAGCCTCTGAAGCTCCTCGAGATCGCTATCCGTAAAATCGGAGTCCCTAGACGCTTACGAAGAAAAAAAAAACGAAATCAACAAAAAAAAACAGAGAACGAGTAGAGATTGGAGTTGACGGATAAGCAAATTATACTGAGTAAACGATATGCAGAGCGGAGGCTCTCCCGCGATGCATCGATCGGAGCAAGCAAGAACCTCGATGACTTCTTCTTCTGCTCTTTCAGCCATTCCTTGGGTCCTGCTGCGAGGAAAAAAAACGTTTATGACGGAATTAGGGGTTTCAAAATCAACACAAAACCCTAATTAAATCGTAAAATAAACGCCCAAAGGCGAAATTCAGCAACAAAAAAAAAAGCGAACAACAGATGGAGCATCACAGATTCCGAGGGAGAACGCAAAGGCGGGATCAGAGGGAGAAAGGGAGAAGAGAAGAGAGGCGGAGGAGAGGATAGCGGCATCTCTGCGAGAGAGAATGTGTGGTGGAGACGGTGGCGCGTGAGGCGCAACGCGGTGGTTCTGCGCAGTGGACGGAGACCGAGGTTTCGCCGTGGAAGAGAAGGATATGGCGATTGGGATAAGACTTGCCATCCCAACAATTTTTTAAAAATAGGAAAAAAAAAAGATAAGAGAAATTTGGATTATGGCACAAAACGGTTTATCATCTACGCGGCGTTTAAATAAAAACATGAACAAATAATTTCATTGCGCCAAATCGGCCTATTTATTTGAATTTATCAACTTAGATTTAAAAAATTTAAAACATTGGTTTCAGAGACATTATTACATTATTCACACAAATTAACCTCTATTTCGGATTTCGATTCTCTTATATTCGGATTCAATTATCGAAAAACTATGACTTTAGTTTTTATATCCGTTTGGGTTTAGTTCCGTTCAAATTCACTGACAAAAGTTTATTTTTTAAAAATATCATTTTTTATATTCCAATCGATTTTGGTTCATGGGTTTAAATAAATTATAATTATTGAATTCTATTCAATTATGATATATCTTATTCGATTCGATTCGATTTGGTTGATCTATTCACCTAATAACAAAAATGGATTAACCTTTATCCGTCCCCATAAACATTGGATATCACTATGTACCCGCTAGAGCAGATGTGGATGGAATACATGTAATAAATTATAACTTCAATTAGATCATATTTTCGAATTTCGCACACTGCATACACGATAAAAAAAATCACATTTAAGTCAGCTGATAATTATGATTCTATATAATTGAAATATTTGATCTTATATTGAGAGACGGTACAAAATAAAATCAACGTGAATAACCGTGGAATATGTACATGTTTTCTACCGAGAAAATTACATTGGAAACCGTCATTTTGTTCTATTTTTTTGGAAATTTATTCGACTCTCCGAATACATGTGACGCGATATTTCACTTATTATATTATATTATATTATATTTGTTTGTGTAATTAATTCTCGTAATATTCCCCTTTGATGAATTGGTTCAAGCGCTTGAGCTCGCCGTTTTGATGGTCCACGATGGCTTTCACAACATCCACCATAGATATCATCCCCACTATCTTCCCGTCGATCACCGGCACATGCCTTATGTGATTCTCTGTCCACGTCATCACAATTTTTCATTTTCTTTAATCATAACGATTTAATAATATCTTCCACATGTTAATTAACCCATGTTACTTAATTAATTATTTTTGTTGGAAATATAACGGTGGGAAAAAAAATATATAGTGAGAATCATTACCTGACATAAGCTGCATTGCTTTGACTAAGTTTGTCCCGGACGAGACCGTGACCAACTTGCTCTGTAACGAGTAATTTCCAAAACATAGTATATATATATATATATATATATATATATATATATATATATATATATATGTGGTTATTACAAAATATTCCATTTTTTTGTGCTTTTTTGTTTTTAACATCTGAATTTTTGAACACTGATTTCAATATTAAAAATGTTAAAATCTTACTTTTTTTTGGTATCAAGATTTTGTAAAATTATTAAAATGATATAGTTTTTTTTTCAAACAAGAAAAATCGGTCAAAACAATAGAGGACTACTAATTTGGAAAATTTTAGGTATTAAAATATACAACACACGAACATTGATTATTAAAATGATGGTTTAAAATATAGAATATCAAAAAGGGGAAAACATATAAAATGTGGTAAATTTGATTTTTTTTTTCCTGACCTCGTCCGTCATGATTTCTCCGACTTTGGTAAGCTTACATGATCGACCGCCTCCAATGATCTTCTTCATATAGTCTGCTTTACCATATCCATATTTTTAGAAACTAATTACATAAATAATCACATATATTAACATAATCGAACGTACAATTGTTTTTTTCTATTCGGACATAATTAAATGTTCAAGTTATTTAATAAATGGGAAATGGAAAAGGAAATTAAAGGAGGAAAAAAAAACTTGCCTCTTTCTGTCATAATTCCGGCGATGTATTGTTCATCGCCAGGTTTCAACACCACCAGTGAGCCAATGTTATGCTTCGCCATCTGCTATTTTCTTAAACCAAACACGCAGTTCGTTAACGGTAACCGAAAATATGATATGAACAAAACATTTTAAAATTTATTTTTGATGGATTAATTTTTAAAATTTTAATTGACAGGAATGATCATTAGGTGTAATTATATGAAATTAATCGGTATTGAATAATATATAATCATATTTAAATGAAATTAGACCTAGAAACGATTTGAGTATATTTAAACAGAGAAAAAGGGGGAGGAGGGGACGGACATTCTTAACGGCGTCAAAAACGGTGTCGTTTGCACGGCACGAAATCCACGTGTCAACTTTCCCGACAGCATCCTTCGCCATGAGAACATCAGCTACCGTCAGATTCTCCAACCCTTTTTCCGGCAGCGGCGGCGGCGAAGAAGTGACGCAGCCAAAACGATACCGTTTCATTGGAGTCCCGAGTTGCCTTAATCCTCGAACGAATGCTTGCATTTTTTATATATTTATATATATAATTATATTCCAAGCTGCTTAAATACGTTGAAAATCATCGTTAGAGACAATTGTAAGCACTCAATTTCAATTTTTGGTAGAGGTCTTTTTCCCCTTACAATGCGGATAGAAAAAATGTGATACAGCAACAGAAAAGCTCAAAATCACGAAAAAAAAATGTAAAAAAAAATCGAGGACATTATGTTTTTAATCAAACGACGTAAAACGAGTTAATATAAAATAGAGAAAATAAAGGAAAGATTAATTAATAATTAATTACCTGTTAATCACTCTTTTGTCGGCAAAATGATGAGTTGAATGCCGGGGATTTTGAGATATGTAATAACGAGAGGGGTTTGGAGAAATGTTTTTTGTTTCTTTTTTTTTTTCTAATGATTTGATCTTTTGCTTGGAGAGATAGTGAAAGAAATCCATTGCCTTTCCTAATCAAAGAGTTAACCGCTTTTATCAATTAGATTAATGATTTATACTTAGCTTTTTTGTATAGATTACGTCTCGGTCTCTATGTAAACAAACCCCAAAACGCATCGTTTTGAATATTCCTTGAAATGACTAATATGCCATTGATATTTATCTCAAATCACAGTTCCACCCCTCGAAGATATTCTCCCTTCCCCTCCCCACACCACTGGAGCAGCAAACGGGGCGAAAAACGAACAGCTCGTCACTTGGACTTGGAAATCGAGGCTAAAAGAAAATGGGAAGTCTAGGCCGTGCGATCTACACCGTCGGATTCTGGATCCGCGAGACTGGGCAGGCCCTCGATCGCCTGGGTTGTCGTCTTCAAGGCAATCACTACTTCCGGGAACAGCGTGAGCCCTAGATCCAACCTATTTCTCCTTTGATCCTCCTCAATTTCCCTTGTATTTGTTTCGATTCTCGATTTTTACGGTTCAGATCATAGAAATGAGAGTCGGTGATTGATGGGTATAGCTCTTTTTTCCCTAACTTGTCGGATTTTTGTGGGTTTTTGTTCCCCCAAGTATTTTGAAATAATTTCATTTAAAACCGCACTTTATAAGTTTGTTGTCTTTAAACATTAGTGTTCGTATTTAGTACTAAAATATGATAAAGAAAAACATTACCTATTTCGCAAGACCATAGATTTTATATTGTCTATTTATATTTAAACTAAATAATATATCATTTCAACAAGAAAGTTACATTATATAAAAATCAATCGAATGGAGAGAATGAATAACAATTGGACCGTAATCTAAAAAACGATTATATACAATATTTTATAATTAAATAGAATATCCCGTTTATCTTCTTTTAGCCCCCCCCCGCAGTGTCGAGGCATCGGACATTGATGAACGTGTTTGATAAAGCTCCATCGGTGGATAAGGACGCGTTCGTTGCTCCGAGTGCCTCTGTTATTGGCGATGTTCAGATCGGTGGAGGATCCTCCATTTGGTATGGATGTGTTCTACGAGGTGAGGGCTTCTATAGTTCTTCACTTACATGCCCATTTGGTCGGAGTTATCGCCCTTGGATAGTCGAGTTAAACACAATAAGTTTCTGGCCATTGTAGGAAAGGAATAGTGCATCGTCTTATCTCAAGCAATGTACCGAAATTTGCTGTTTCGTGTTAGCTCGTGTAGATTTGAAAAATCCATATTTATTTGTGTCACCTGTTAGGGTAAAGCAAATAGCGAGCTGGGCGGTTGGATACTGATGCAAAATTGTTTTGTGGAGACTTCCTTCAGCAATGTATACGAGCCTGTTTCTGTGACTCCCTTTACCCATTTTTTTCTTGATCGACTTTTCGTTTGAATCTCAAGTTTTTCTGCAGCTGGTTGTATTGTCACAGTCTTGTTCTGCTCGCCTTTATTGTTTTCAATCCGAAATGGTTTACTTCTAAATTCTGTGGTTTATCTGAAGGTCCTGTCATTCTGATGTGCTGCCGTTCATATTAAGTAATTGAAAATCTCTAAATTGTTATTTGGTTGTTGCAGGGGATGTGAATGGCATCAGTGTCGGATCCTGGACGAACATTCAAGACAATTCCCTTGTGCATGTTGCTAAATCCAACATAAGTGGGAAGGTTCTTCCTACTATTATTGGGGACAATGTCACAATAGGTAAAACTAAAAGCAATCATGCCGTGTTTGATCTGTAAATTATATGCTATCTTGCCAATAAAAATGAACTGAACAGGTCATAGTGCTGTTCTTCATGGCTGTACCATCGAGGACGAGGCTTTTGTTGGCATGGGAGCTACACTACTTGATGGTGTAGTGGTTGAGAAGCATGCCATGGTTGCTGCCGGTGCCCTCGTGAGACAGAACACGATAATCCCTTCGGGAGAGGTTTTCCCTCCCTCCCTCTCTCTTTATCCTCTGCATCTCACTTATTTGATAAAGAACCGATAGCCAAAATGCAATGTTTCTGATAGAACCTGGATGGATTCTATCGGGTATTTCTTTGTTGTTACTTCAAGGAAACGTAGATCTCCTATTTGATCTTAACGCCTTTTATACAGCAGTTACAATAGAAAACCGAAATCTCTCCATAGAAAGTTAAAAATGTCCCGGGGGTCTATCTGTTTCATCTTGTAAGATGCCATTCCACCTCTTTCTGATTTCATTTCTACTGGTTTTGAGAAGATTGCGGGAAACTAATAAGGATTTCTTACACAGGTTTCTTTCTAACTGCCATTCAACGATTGATTCGTATCTAGACTAGTTAGTTCATCATGCATCTTGCTATAAGCATAAGTCGATTAGAAACCACTAGCTTGGTGACATATTTGCAGGGTTGGTGATTCGGGTTGCTAATTTTGATGATAAATGTGACAGGTATGGGGAGGAAACCCGGCAAGGTTCTTGAGAAAGCTAACGGACGAGGAGATAGCATTCATCTGCCAGTCAGCGACCAACTATTCGAATCTCGCTCAGGTCCATGCAGCTGAGAACGCGAAGCCATTCGACGAGATTGAGTTCGAGAAGGCTCTCCGCAAGAAGTATGCTCGTAAGGACGAAGATTACGACTCTATGCTTGGCATTGTCCGTGAGACTCCTCCCCAGTTGATTCTTCCCGACAATGTCTTACCTGGTAAAGCCTCCTCCAACAATGTTCCTGCTCCCCAGAACTGAATTCCTTTTTTCGGGTTTTCTTCTTTAATAGTTTCGAGACGGAATCTTGGAATGATCAAGAGATATTTGCTTTTGGGTTTTTCGCCCGAGCAATTTAGGGAATGTGATCCTTCTCTTCAATAATGCAGAAAAGAACCTTGTACCACTAGATCTGTAGGGTTCATTGTGAATCTTTTGGTTGAGGAACAAATGCACAAAAGCAGCTTGGATGTCTTTTTTAGCTTAGTTTCTGTTTCCGTTCATTTGGTCATAGAGGATAAAGAATAAGATTCATCATTTTTGTTTAACAAAGCCACTTGTAATGTTAATTTATCATTGAATGTGATCAATTGGATCCAAAAACAAACCGATCGTAATCCAGTTCCGGTTCGGTTTGAAATTCTCAACCGATGTATCATACCGAAGAACAAAATTAGAGAAAAAATATCCGACGGAATAGAACAAAAACAAACCTGCAGAAAACCGAACATGCACATTGTAGAACAGAACACGAGCCATTGCTCAAGATTTGACCTAACATAAATGATCTCATACTCGGTTTTACACTGAACAACAGAACACGAGGAAGCTTTTGACTGAAAACACTGTCAACGAGATCAGTTTATAGGCCAAAATGATTCAGCCTCGTGAAGATCTTAAGCATTGAGAACAATCCACAGCCATTTCTGGAAACAGATTTGTAGAAAATATCCGAAAAAGTAAATCCAGAACTAACATCAAATGATGTTATTCATCATTTTCCCCCCTCAACCTCACAGTTCCATTGGAGCCACATCTTGGTCACCCGAACCACCACCGCCCTGTTCTTCCTCCGTGGCAGCAGCCGGAGCAGCAGCAGAAGCAGCTTCTTCTTCTTCTTGCTCCTCGACCTTCTCGAATGAGTCAATCATCTTCTGCAACGTTTCCTGGTCCAAGAAATGGAAAGGTTCACCCTTTCCTAGAACCGCGATTGTGCAAACAGAGCTCTTCAGCGTTTCTCCTTGCAGTGTTTCCCTTATGGCCAAGAGAGCATCTTTTATCAAATCTTCTCTGGATGAATCCATGAAGTTCTCGAACCGACGTTCCAAGTATGTTTTTGCAGCTTGTGAACGAGACCCGATAGCGAATGCTTGGTACTCAAAGTAGTTTCCGCTCGGGCAGTTGTAGTAGAGATGGGCTCCGGACTCGTCCAAGCCACCTACCAGCAAACCCACACCATAAGGCCGTTTCCATGACCGCTGGGTACAGACCTGCTCACAAGACAAAACCAAACATATGTATTCTTCTTCCAGATCAAAGACAGCTCTAGATGACGAGGATATATATGACACAAATGAATGAACATGAAATCATGTGAACTTCTCCAGTCATTTCACAACATAAACGCAAATGCAAGTGGGGCTAGGGAGAGTAATTAGTTTAATGCCTAATAACTACACAATTGAGGAATAATCAATTTACAAGGATTATTAAAAAGTGCTGGTGTAGAAAACAGAACTCATTGAAGCTGCATCTAAGTAAAAAAAACATCTGGCCAGAGTAAGAAGCAGACAACCTATTGAAGTAGTGAATATGAAAACAAACCAATGAAACCTTCAAATAGAAGTGGGATGCAGCACATAATTCTATAGAAGCCACGAAATCCGATCAGCTTGGACAAATGCTCGGTTAAACAAGTGAAGAACGGTGAGGGCAAACTATGAAGAAAAGTAACATATAGGATACAACAAACTCAAAGAAATGCCTCAAAACTATAAGACGTCACAAAAGAGATAAAAAAAATCCAGTTTCATAGGCAGTGTAATAGATACACCCAACAATCTCTATTCTACTCGATACAGAAAACTATGTCCTAATTCCTAAATTCATCTTTTCAATGCTAAATCAATCGATCTTCCTCATCAAGCGCTGATAAATACAGTAAAACAACTATGCAAATCGAGGTGGAAAACCAACAGATTCTATTAGGGTCTCAGAGCCAAAGTTGAAATGGATATTTCGAGATATGCTCTTGGTGAAGGTATAAGCGAAAACTAAACTCTAGCTAATGTAGCATAAAACCCACATTACCTTCTGTGTTTAGATCAAGCAACATGTATAATCACAGACACAACACACAAGGAAGAAATTTGTCAGTGGCTTGTGCAATGAGAATACTACATGCCCGAGATCGTGATACTCTCAGCCCTAATCAACTCTCTTCACTGCTATCATTAGGCTTAAGAGAACTGAGACCACCGGAATAGATCAAGACACTCCCCAGCTATGTTTCCAAAAACATCAATGGCACAATGAAGTATCCTAAGCATGATTTCAAGCAGATTCAAGTGGAATCAGTAATCAAGGAGCAGGAAATGAAATCAAGATAGAAACTTTCTTTAGAAACTCATGTCACAGAAAGCTTATGTCACCAAAATTACATCCTAGAAGTGAAGTCCGAGTGACATTTTGGGTGAGTTTTCAGGTCAGCGAATCAAACAAAAGCATTATCTCCATCTATACGAAGCGCTCAAATCTCAAAATCACGGCAAAGAGATACAAAAACAACAAAAAGGGCAACGTCATCATCACCTGGGCCTTATCGGCGAGGCGGACAACAAGACGGCCGACAGGAAGAGGAGATTCGTAGGTGAAAGAGTGGTTGATACACTCGGATCTCATGTAACGCGACAGAACACGGCCGTCGGCGGTGAGACCGGCGATGGCGACGCCGATGTGGTCGTCGACCTTGAAGATCTTCCTCTGATGAGAAGAGAGCTCGGATTGAGCCTTGTTGAGGCAAGCGAGGACAACATGGGAGCGAGATCTCAGCCCGATTGCGGCCGAACCTTGCTTCACTGCTTCCATGGCGTACTCTACTTGGAAGAGACGACCCGTCGGACTCCATGTCGTGACGTCCGTGTCGTACTGGTTCCTGAACATGGCTGCTGATTCTTCGCTATCCTTCTTCTTCTTCCTCTTCCCCGTCCGTCTTCGTCGAAGGGTTTATACAAACGCAAGGGAAGCTTTTCTTTGTCCTCAAGCCATGGCTGCTTCCTTTTGATCCAAAGGCGAAAAGGTTTTGGGCTTTTGAACCGTAATGGGTCTATACTTATTTAAGGGCCCATCATATAATAATATTAGTTTATAAGCTTTGAAGAAACTATTTTTCTTTTTCTTTTTTTTGGTAGTAGTGAATTTTGGGTAGTAAACTTCTTTTTCATCCCATTTGAAAATTATTTAGTATTCGAAACAGAAATTTGAATAATACACACGCAATCACCACACATTGGATATAAATTCATATTTTTTTTAAAATTATAAAAACAACATTAAAATTACAAAATTATTTTAAGAATTTGTCAAAATTAATGAAAATAACCTTCGATATTTTCTAAAAGCTATAAATTATGACTCCTGGCCATTTGTTCGGAACTACATACCCATCTACATTTAAATTCAAACCTCTAATAAGATTAGAATAACATCAAAGAAGAGGTTTAAAAACCCTTGAAAGCTTTCACTTGGTGAAGATATAATATATGGTACAAATTTATATACAAAGAAGAGTAAAAATGTATCAAATCTCTCAAGAGATATTTTGCAACCATATCAAAAAACCAAGAAACCCACTCCTTGACGTGACTTGTTTCCACTGGAGAGATCTTTGCTCAGATTGAAGTCTCTCTGACTGTTGTTCTTGGAAGACATAAGTACTCACTATGACTAGTCCATGACTCACCAGTTGCTGGGCTGTCTATGAGGAGGGGAATGGCAGCCGTGAAACGCACAAGTTCTAGCCATATGCACCGGCTTTCCAGCCGGTTGTAAAGGCCAAACGAATTCTCGGGTTGGAGGCGGGGTAGCATGTCGTCTCTCCATCTCCAATATGTATATCTCGTGGATGACCTCTGCAACCATTTATGATAGCAAGAATTTACTAAAATCAGAAGTTTTAACCGGTCCAAAATGTCCATGTTTGATAACACTGACTGATCAACAAGATTCTGACTATATATATATATGTAACAGAGACGACCCTTTTTAGAAAACCAATATGTTTTGATTATAAAGCAAGCGACAAACCTTTTAACTGCTTACTCGTCACACAAAAATCCGACCACCAATCTCTCCTGTTGCCTAGTCTTGACTTATGGAACACGGCAGCAAGGCGCAGAGAGACAATTGCAATAACATGGGGTTTGTACTGCAACAATAGCATTGTACGAAACCTACATGGAAGAAAAGACGTATAACATTGTTTCAAAGAAAGAAAATGTATAGAGTTTTAGTCCTGAAAATTGACGTGGGAGAAGAGAAGGGATATCATGATGTCTTTACCAATCATTCACTAAATTCCATGCAGCGGTTGCAACATCAGGCCGCACATTCAACTTGTTCAAAGCTGCAGCCAGAGGCTTATACGGCAATTCAATGTCAAGATCGAAAGCAATTGTGTCCAGCAGAAGCCTCTCCGCAACCAAAATCAGTTCTTTAAACTCATGGTAATATTCCTACAGGCAGAAAATCAGGCTTAAAAACACGTACAACATGGAACAACGAAAAAAACCCACATAATAGAAGTATAGTTAAGCTTCATACTCTTTGATGGATTCTCGTTGGGGCAGAAGGATCCCATTCATAAATGATCTCATAAGCCGCAACAACAACACCAGATAGTTGACAGGGCTCATCTTCGGTTTTGCAGGCGAAGAAAAGACTGGCAGTTGCAATTGTCTGCAGCAAAAGAAGCAAAAAACAGAGACAAGGGGAGTCCAAACAGGAAAAATATCACTCTTAATCCTCTTACAGTAAATGCACTTAATGAACTACGTGTACACAAATTCAGCATTCTTACCCGCCAGTCATTTTTTGCATGAGACTGACACATGTAAAATCGGTGGCACAACACCATTGCGCACGATGTCGTAGCCTGAGACCTGAAAGAATGAAATTCTCAGTAACCATCAACATCAACAGGAACATTTGGCAATGAAATCATATCACGAATCAGTTCAATCTTATAATAGCTTCTGCAACTAAAAGGCTGGATATTTCCTTTACCAAATCAGGATTTACAACATATTCTATAAGACACACGGTTGCAGCAAAGGACAAAAACACCAGTACCTAAGATAGAAGGTTCATAAATAGTGGGCCGGAGAGAGACGTGCACTTGCTCAGAAAACTAAGAAACCCCAGGTGGAAATGGAGGAACGCAGAGGGTTTTGATAACCCAGCAGAGGGTAAAAAATCACAGAAATATATCAGATAGTCATGAACAAACAAGTGAACAGCTCCAAGCAAATTCACGGCAGATGCAAGCTTCCCATTGCCGAGGAGCAGTGTGTGCCATTATATGATGTAAAGACCCCGCATTTTGACTATATTACAAGTTATCTGCTCATGAGAAAAATATGTAAACAAATGGATCAGAACTCTAATTCGAACCTCTGGACCACCTCCCCCAAAAAGTGATCCTCCTCCAACACATTTCAACAGTTAGGTCACCCATGCCCATACATAAAGCCCTCATCTTTAGCTAGAAGTTAGAACACATGAACATCAGCATAAGAGAAGCATAAGAATATCTTGCAGCACACATGCAAAGAAGAAGAACCCCGCATTTATGAAAACAGCAGTTTCCCAATAAAAACAAATAATACTATTTCGAGCTTACACACGAAGCTTCACACCAAGCCTTTGGAGAAACATGCAGTACGATGCCCGCAAATACGATTCTTTCTCAAGGTCAATCCCATCCTTCCTTGACGGCGAGAAACACTCAATCTCTTCTCTGGTGAAATACCACTTAGATCTTCCGTGGAAAGGGGCTTCCAGCACAGTTGTGGGTGTTGGATGTGTTTCAAAATGCTGCCGGGAACGTTTCCTCGGCTGATGCTCTCCCATTGTAATCTTTTGCTCTCAAGCAAAAACTAGGGAACAGGGAATTCAATTTTCCAGCTAACTTCGGAATCTAGCCGCAAATTCTCCCAATGTATCTGCAAATAGTAAGCATAATCAACAACCATAAACCAGGATGAATGAATCTATACATCTCTCAATTGATGTCCCTTCTACAACAACAACGAAAGACCGAATCACGTCAACAACCCCATTCGTAAACGGATCATTCCGTGCTTTCTTATGTTTAGTAGAACAACTTCCGACAATCCCTAGCAGAAGAATCTGAATCCCATTACCAGTTTTTTTTGTTCATCCTAGAAAGCTTCAGCAAAATTTGAAACTCTGAATCAGCACCATCAATAAAATATTTTCCAGAAACATATCCCAATAGATTTGCCTATACCGCACATTGCAGAATTAAACTGAAGAAACCACGTTGAAATTCAGAAACAAGAGAGAAGCTATCGCTTAACTGGAGAAGGATCCGACGCACACGATTCAGAGATCTGAAGAATAAGAACGTAATCGAATTCAAAAGGGGGAAAAGAGATACCAAAAAGGGAGATTTCTACAGACCCCTGTTTGGTTGCCGAGAAAATCCTTGGAATTTGAAGCCTCAGCTTTTTCTCCCCTATTTTAAACCCTTGGGTCCGATGGATTATGGGCCTTTTATATTAAATAAAAAATCATTTGGGTTATATATTTGAATTAGACAACTCCAGTTTATATGGGCCTGGGCTTACAACCTGAAACTACAAATTCCGTAGATTTTAAATAGTTTCAAAGATATACCTTGAACGATGTCGTTTTGATCATCTCCCATGTCGTCGGGACAAATCCGTAATTTCCCGAGCGACCGTGGAAGAAACCCGTCCTTCAAGAAAACGAAAAGAAAAAAGGGTATAAAATTGCAGATTGAAGAACAAAAACATTGTTTGGCTTCAGAATCAGAAATAACTCTTGGGATCTGTCGGAGATTGGGCCGAGGGATAATTGTTCGGCAGAATGAGCGACGGAGACGACGCCGCGCGACGCCGTACCGCGGCGGTGGCCGACTACCGGAAGAAGCTCCTCCAGCACAAGGAGCTCGAGTCCCGTGTTCGATCAGGTTTGACTCTCGGGGCGCCTATTTTGTAAAACCTAGTTTATGCTACCTTTTCTTGCTCTATTTCAAATGGGTCGTTCTTGTGACGAATAATCTGGGCTTGCTTTGAATACTTTCCATTAGTTGAATCCTGGGGTTTTTCCCTCGATGCTTAAACTATCGCCACCAGTTTAGGTGATTGGAGTGGCGGGATTCTGTGGTTTTTTATTCAATTGCTGATATTATGCGCCATTTCCGAAGGGAGGGCTGTTTTCTCAGCATGCTCAGACTTTCTGGGTATGCAAGATAAGTTTTTGTGAGTTCCATTGGTGAGTGAGGTCTGAAATTTTGCTGCTTCTGTGAAAAATTCTGCTCTGTGCAGAGTTGTAGTGAGCTGTTTATCATTGGTTGTGGACGAAAGTCATCAAGTCCCACAGATTTTAACATCGAGTTTTGCAGCTAGGGAGAATCTAAGAGCGTCTAAGAAGGAATTCAACAAAACCGAGGATGATTTAAAGTCTCTTCAAAGTGTAGGGCAGATAATTGGAGAAGTTCTACGACCCCTGGACGCCGAACGCTGTAATACTCTGTATCTATTCGTGCCCTTTTTCTTTTGGCTTATGTGAGATCTTTTGCTTATATAATCATTTGTTGTTTGTGATCTGAAGGATGAAATTTTCTTGCTTTGATTTCTAGTGATTGTCAAGGCAAGCAGTGGGCCCCGTTACGTGGTGGGTTGCCGTAGCAAGGTAGATAAAGATAAGCTTACTTCGGGAACTCGGGTTGTTCTCGATATGACAACACTAACCATCATGCGAGCCCTTCCCCGGGAGGTAATGGCCATTTCGACATGTTGTGGATTTTTGTTATATATGCTCTTTGTGACAGTAGTGATTTATCATAACCATCCCCTGGATGACAGGTTGATCCTGTTGTTTATAACATGCTTCATGAAGACCCGGGAAATGTTAGCTACTCGGCTGTAGGTGGGTTGTCTGATCAGATCAGAGAGCTTAGAGAATCTATCGAGCTGCCTCTTATGAATCCAGAACTCTTCATTAGAGTAGGGATCAAACCCCCAAAGGTATATTTTTTGTGTGTATATCCATCCAATTTTTTTTGCTAGGGATTCCATTCTAACCAAGATTGAGCCTTTCAGTTTCGCTCGAATGTTGTAAGAGCCAGTATCAGTTGTGAAAACATCTGAGCTTGTAGAGTGTATGCTTAAATGCTGTTAATATCTTCTCCTTATTCCAGGGTGTCCTTCTTTATGGACCTCCCGGTACTGGCAAAACCCTACTAGCTCGGGCTATTGCCAGCAACATCGATGCCAACTTCTTGAAGGTTTGCTCTATGCTACTTCAATGGCTGTTTTCTATTATGACCAATTCTCAGGCTTTATAATAGTATTTTTTTCTACTGGGTACAGATTGTTTCAAGTGCAATCATAGACAAATACATTGGAGAAAGTGCTAGGCTGATTCGGGAAATGTTTAACTATGCCCGTGATCACCAGGTGAAAACCCCGACTTTCCCTGGTCTATCGGTTTCTCTTCCTCCTCTTTTAATAGGCTTTGTGCCACATTCATCAGTCACTGACTATAAACTTTTTTTCTTCTGGTTAGCCTTGCATCATTTTCATGGATGAAATCGATGCTATTGGCGGGCGTCGTTTTAGCGAGGGAACGAGTGCTGATCGTGAAATCCAAAGAACACTGATGGAGTTACTCAACCAGCTTGATGGATTCGACCAACTCGGAAAGGTAGTGTCCAGCATATATATATATATGTATATCTCTCTGGAATTTGTTGTTGTTGTGGCTGTAAATTGTAATGACGGAATATTAACTTATGATATTATGAACAGGTGAAAATGATAATGGCGACAAACAGACCGGATGTTCTTGATCCAGCGCTTCTCCGTCCGGGCAGGCTGGACAGAAAGATTGAGATCCCCTTACCAAACGAGCAATCGAGAATGGAAATCCTTAAGATCCATGCAGTTGGTATCGCCAAACACGGTGAAATCGACTATGAAGCTATCATTAAACTTGCTGAGGTTAGTTTTTTTTCCTTATTTGTTTTGTATAATATCAACTGGCAAGCCATTTACTAAACAGTTCTTCCGACGTGGAAACCCCTCAGGGCTTCAATGGCGCCGATCTGCGTAACATCTGCACGGAAGCTGGAATGTCTGCCATCCGAGCAGAACGTGACTACGTCGTCCACGAAGATTTCATGAAGGTACCAAGGGAAAACAATGCGGATTTCGCGCAAATTGTTGTGGCATTCGTTGTCGTTTTTGTTAAATATTTGGTAAAAAAAAAACGAACCATTTCAGGCGGTGAGAAAGCTGAGCGAGGCCAAGAAACTGGAGTCGAGTGCGCATTACAACACGGATTTCGGAAAAGACTGAGATCAAAGACGAAAAAAGTCTCGAGCTTTCGAGACGAAGGCCGAGGGATCCGAGGGCAGTGCATGGAATTTCCTCTTTCTACGCAAAAAAAAAAAAAAAAAAAAAAAAAAAAAACCGAACTCTGAAACCTACGAGGTAAGCCAGTGGAATTGCGTTTCAGTGTTCTGAAAGTGCATTTCTTTCTTTCAAATGCTTGCTTCCTCGTTTGGTTTGTACTTGAACTGATTACTCTTTTGCTTTAAATTAAAGGTGAAATTCTTGTTTTTTTTTCGAATCATCATCAAAAAAAATTTTTTTATAGAATATTCGGAGAAGCTTACATATGTATAAGCGTTGGGTCTAGGTTTTTGGTGTTTTTATTGGTAAATTCTTTAGACTAATAGTTAAATTCTTACATATAAAAATTAATAAGATGGATATTAATTTGTTTAGAAATACTTAGACCAATAGTTACGTTCTTACATATTAAATTCTTAATCGTTCCAGTTTCGATAAAACCAAACAACTATTTTCTGTTCTTCGTTATATTATTATTATTATTATTATTAACTGATAATAAATGAGCATTGCCTCTTTGCAACCAGTTATTGGCAATGGGAAAAAAAATTCCAATATAGAAAAAAAAAACACTTATGTCATTAATTCTCATGAAGTGGACCGAAACTTGAATCCAAGAAACATGTGGACGTAGACTAAAGTGGGACCCACCTCAATAAAATCTGACCAATAAATTCCCCCAACTGCCAAACCCTAACCCGAACTCCTTTTGTTCTCTCTCTCTTCTTCTCCCTCTAAATGTTTTCATCTTCCTCGCATAAAAACAAAAAAAAAAAAATAGAAGGAGAGAGAATTTATATATTTTTTAATTATTATTTTATAAATGGAGGAATACGTAATTAGGATTGTAGTGGTGGGAGTCATGTCATGGTCGTTGATTTTCATGATCACGAGGAGAACATTCGCTAGCTATTCATTCGAATTCAGCAACCGCTTGGTCTCGACGCTTCATGCGACAGTTGCCGTCATTTTGGCATCTCTCTCTGTTCAACATTGGTCTTGTCCTGTCTGCCCCGTGGCTTCGTACTCATCTCCTCAACAGGTTCTTTTCATCCTTTTTTTTTTAATTTCTCGTTCGTGTTTTTTTTTTGTTATACATTGAGAAATTTCTTAAGATCGATGTATATTCTTTTTATATCTTTTAGTGAGGGAAAAAAACATAAATAAAAATATCGATCTTAATAGATTGCATTATTTACCTAATTTTAATAGGATCTATTTTACAAGATTTGTAGATTAATCCCGATCTTGATATATATGCGGATATAGTTTATCCATAAGTAGAATACTAGACAAGTCGTAACATTCTTTACAAAAAAAAAAAAAAGTCCTAACATTATTTACGAGTAATTTATCTACTACTCCCTCTGTTTCTAAATACATGTCGTTTTAAAAACTTTTTTTTTATTACTAGATACATGTATGTTTTACATTTTCTATGCAATTTTTTTAGTCAAGTTTTCAATTTTACCCTTATTTAAAAATATCTCATTTCAATAGATCATTAGTAAAAATGTAATTTAATAAGAGTATATATATGACTTTTTTTAGATTTTTTAAAAAATTGCGATAAAATCTAAAACGACAAATATTTTGAAATGGATAGATTAATAAACTCATAAATATTGCTACCGATCTTGATCCTAATAGAAGGATTTCTAATATCGGCATAAGGGTTCTCACTAAATCCAATTAACGTGAGATTTTATAATAAGTTAACCAAAGGAAAGTGTAGGTTCATAATATATGATTAGTATGATGATGTGGTGGAGAGCAGATGAAGACGCTGGCGTTTTCAATGTCGTATATGATGTACGATCTCGTATGCTGCCATTTCGACAAAGGAGTTGGCCTTGACAACGCAATCCACCATCTGGTCAGTATCGTTGGCTTTGGAGCTGGACTTGCCTACCAAAGGGTAATCATGTCATGCATCTTCTTCCTCTACCTTCCATTTCTTTCCCCTTCCTAATCTCATCTTAGAAATTAATATATATATCTACTTTTGTATCGTATTATTGCTGTTAATGTCTACATAATATTTTTTTATTATTAATTCAGGTAACTAATTATAATAAATCATTAGAAAGATCTAAATGAAAAGAGGTGATGCCCCACCAAACTCATGTCATACATGTATAGTCTATGACATATGTCGTTTGCTGTATATCATGATCAAAATCCGCAACCCCTTCAACCACATGGGATTTCACATGTTTAACAGATGATAATTACAAAAAAAAAATGAAATTATTTCATGACTCTTAATAAGCATGAATGGATCTCATGTGTGTGTATACATATATATATATATATTGTTTTTGTTTTGAAATTTAATCTATATATTTGCTACGGGAATTTAAGTGTGGATCAGAGATGGTGGCTGCTTTATGGATAACAGAGATATCAAGTCCTTTTCTCCATCTAAGGGAGCTTCTCAAAGAGATTGGTTTCAGAGACACCGACCTCAATCTTGCTGCTGATGTGAGTTTCATTACATACATACATACATACATACATACATACATACATACATACATACATACATACATACATACATACATACATACATACATACATACATACATACATACATACATGCATGCATGCATGCATGCATGTGAATAATTATGATATATATATGTGCAAGCAGATATGTTTTGCAACATTCTTCACGTTGGGGAGAATGGTGGGTGGGCCTTATCTCGCTTACGTCACTCTATCTGCTCCAAATCCCTTCCTCATCAAGGTACTATATACTAATCTCTTTCTTGTTTCAATTAATCTTCTTTAATTCATTAGTTTTAGGCATAAATTCAATTCTTAATTTAGCCATTTCTGCTTCAGTTTAAGTTTCCTAAACCTCTAATTAGAATAATTCTTTTATATACAAACAGAGTTTTGTCAATTATTTCACACAATTCCCTGATTTCGATATTCTATTAACAGTTTTTTTAAATGATAGATTTAAAATTCGAAATTAAAACATATAGATCTTAATCAATTGTTTAGACTAATATCTAAAGAATGCTAGAGTGATTATCGACCGGTTTCGGTAATATTTTTTTGGTTCAAAATTATATCTATTCAATTTTAAATCGGATTTTGTTTCGGTTCGAATTTTATTAAAATTTGATTTGGTATCAGATTTCATAAAATGGGTAATGCGCATGTTTACAGGTAATGGGATTGGGATTACAACTGGTGAGTGCGTTTTGGTTCTACAAAATCATAAGGATGATGAGATACAAATTGAAGAAGAGATCATCATCCTCCGACAAGAAATTTAGTTGATTAGGTTTTTGTCCGAACCATAACTTCCTTTTGGAGCAAACTTTAGTAATAGGCATAATAAGAATAGCAAGCTTAACGGTTGGCATCTGACTTTAATGGAGTTCTTGACATAGAACTTCTTCTAATTTTCATATATTCTAATTTAGGCTATTATATTATATGTGGTCGGATGTTAGTAAATAAATTATAAATTATTAGTAAAATCATTAGAAACTATTATGAATTCATTTGAAATAGAATATTTACTCTTTTTTTTGGAGAAGGGAGAAACAAAAAACGGTTGTTAATTACCATAAAATTAAAAAATGATATAATATCCATATTATACAAAGGGGAAATGAATACCTATAATTTTCCGCAATCATATATTTTCTTTATTAGATTGGAGGCCATTGTTTTACAAATATAACGTTGTGAATATTAGATATTCTACTTTTTTTTAATCGTCATTACATTCCTACTATCTATAACCATTGTTAATATTTGGTTAAAATTGGATAATGTTGTAAATTTATATATTTATATAAAATTATAAATAATTAGTGTATTTATATAAAGAAAAGTTCCCACGGTTATAATTTTTTTGGGCCTACAAAATATCATATCAGGGCCACAATATAATGTTGGGCCCATTAATAATGAAAGCAGACTCGGTACTTGACAGTCGTACGGTTTTTCCTTGTCATAGAAGAAAATAGAATTTGTCTTTAAGATTATGGAAACTTCTAATTAACATTAAATATTGTCGGCCAATTTGAATAAGATATAATGTAATAAAAAAAATAATGAAATTAGTCTTTTGGCCCAATTTCGACTCCATTGTCCGCAGAGACAAAGTATCCGACGAAATTTTAACTGTATATTAGACACGTCAGCATAGGGAGAGCTTTCTGACCGTCCGATTTAGCGGCTCTCTTGTAATTTACACCTATTAATTGTTTTTTTTTTTTGAATTTTTTCATTTTGAATAAATCTTATTTATTATTTAATTTAATATAATGAAAGAACAGTGAAGGGTACCCGAGCTTTATTCAGGGTCACCCGTGCCCGAACTGCAGGATGGAAAACGCAATGCAAGCAAAACGGCGGTGTTCAGGAAGA